TGAAGGCTGCATGCGCACACCGCCACACTCACACGCAGTAAAAATCACGCGTGTGTCCGAGGAAAAGTGAAATTCTTACACATCTTACATAAAACCTTCGCGCACGCGTCGTGTACTGCGCTGCGCCAGTAAGTCTTCGACAGTGCGCCGGTTGTGAAGCGCACTTTTTATCTATTTACGTTAATAAGGGTACAAGACTCGTGCAAATCGCCTAAAAATACAATCGTCGCAGGGGACACTGCCAATAATTCGCATGTCAAGGATTTTCCTGAGCGGCACAGAGAGCGTCGTGACACTCGCGAGTCATTCGGTATTTTCGCGCAAAACTAACGCGTAACTTTTCCGCGCCGATACTAACTGACCGATCGACAAATCAGTCAACCGTACTGCTGACCTATCAGTAGGTGTAGCTGTGAATTATTTTGCATTCACTTGCGAATCTATTCGGGTTTATTTTCGGTCGCAAACCTGTTCGGAGTCGGGAGTGTAACACGCGCAAGCCAAAAACTTCTCTGTGTTTACTTTGTGGGCTAAAAATAAAAATTAACACTAAAAACATTTAATTTTTAATTCGAGTGCATTTGTTGTGTTTGTGTACTTTTTATCACGAAGAAGGATGCTGTGGGAGAGCTATAATCTGACGCCGAAGCGCCGATTTATCAAAAGGTGATTGAACATACTCGTAATTATTACTGCGTCTTGTTTTTGTGCGGAAATTCGACTTTTTGCGTGTTAATATTACAGAAATATTTTATGTGAGTTCAATAATAATATTCCGTTGACGAAAAAGCTGATGAGCGAAAAACAATAATGACGTTTAATTTTATAGATTTAATGTAGACTAATAAACAACAAAATTTGATTAGAAATTTATTAGATTATTTATTTATTTGATTCGCTTTACATTGCAAGATTGACTTGTTATGTTCCCACACATTAATGGAATTAGTTGTATGTTTTGAAGGAGACCTTGAGCTTAGGTTGTTGCAATGTGTAGATTTCATTATTGCTAGTAATTAACAAATTAATATTATATATAATTAGACTTGTTTACGTTTGTCATTTTGAGGATTTCGTAGGTAAAATTACAGTTTTGGGCAAAAGTAAAACAAGCTGTATATGTTGTTCAGGTAAACTAATTAAAATTCGATTTGGTCATGTTGAACGTTACATTCACCTAATTCAGATTAAATTGTTGTGCAATTATTTTAAACACGTTAACATGTGGATACACTTAGTGTTTTTATGGAGTTTAGGTTAGTTTATAAAATAAGAGAAGAATTTAAATTTTGGAGAGTTATTGTAAATATTACATATATAATTGAATATCTTCTGGACTGCAAGATGAGGATTGACCAAGTGAGAGTTATATTATGTGGTTTAAATTGAAGAAATTTATTTAAAAAAAAATATTCTTTGCGTAAACTTGAAAACAAATAATAAAAATTAACATCCATACTCTCACAATTCCGAGTGACAATTAGTTATACTCGTAGTTTATGTTATTTTTACAAAAAATGACCTTTCAATAAGTTTTCTCACACTTTTAAATTTACGATCAAAAGTGTTCTTAGTCAATGGAAGCAATAAAATGTTTAAGTACAATTTAAGTATCCTAAGTATACTATCTTAAAAACTATTAACCAATGTACACTATTGACCGTCTAAAATTAGCTCGGTATGCTAATCAGACAATTTTTTGCGATATTTTTTTCTATGTAAGGAAATCGTTATAAATATGGCACGTGGTTAAGTAGAAGTGACGTTTGTTACGTTAATAAACACACATCTATTATGTCACTTCGAAGAAAGGCGTTTAAACACTTTGGCAATGTGTGCAGCTTGACCTGGCTCGCTTCGCCGCCGGTTGCGCATTCGCGGATCTCGTCGATGAATATGCCATACGCCGCATACACATCTGGACACTGTATAAATATAAGTCGCGCATAGCAAAATCGAAAAACTTGCGAACTTTTGGCCGCCGCTTTCTCCTCGCAATAAAACTAAAATTAAAACGTGCTCCTATGCAATCACGACGCAATCGCAGTCACTGTGTAAACATTATAAATTATACATGAGATCATTGATTGATTTTACATAACAAATAAAAAATTATAGCGCAATCCGGCATAGTTTTTAAACAATGCATTTTTGCAAAATAATAATCTTCGATTTAAATTCATTGCCACTGGGTTAGGCTGGGTTAACCTGGGTTAGGCTGGTTTAGGCACGTGCGGTGCCCTGAACACGAGTCACTTCTACCGCTGCCCTTGTACGGTGCCCTGAACACGAGTCACTTCTACTGCTGCTTTTGTACGGTGCCCTGAACACGAGTCACTTCTACCTCTGCCCTTGTACGGTGCCCTGAACACGAGTCACTTCTACCGCTGCCCTTGTACGGTGCCCTGAACACGAGTCACTTCTACCGCTGCCCTTGTTCGATGCCCTGAACACGAGTCACTTCTACCGCTACCCTCATACGGTGCCCTCCTAGGTACATATGCAATCAAATATTGTTGGAAAAGGAACTCGTTTGATGTTATTCAATTTGTTTCCAATTGCTACGCTTACCGATAGGTGTTCATGCTTTATAAATAATCACTCAAGATAAACAACCAACAATCTATTTATTGTTACTAAACGCCCACGATGGCTACCGAATTAAAACGGCAACCTGTAAAAATTGGCAATTATTTCCCAATCATTTTAGCACCTCGTGCGTGCAAAATAAAATATTTTCGCCTCGAATGGGGAAAACCGAATAATGAGGGTACTGATTGTATCTATTCATAGTAATTGCATATTCGTATTAGTATCGAATGTTTTGATAATTTTTTCTACGTCAATGCATATCATTATGTAGCGTGTTTGTGAATGATACGGAGAGTGGAAGGTACCACAAACGTGGTTATCGATTTCGTCACTTGATATAGTATTTTATTGACCAACTACTCAGGTGATAGTAAAATAGAGTTTATGACGATGAAGTTACAATCGTCTGTTATCTTTAAATATACACAACGTAGCTTTGGATGATGCAATAAGGAAATTTTACTCTAATGTAATGCAATAAAGTTAACAAACTACGTTTTACGTTTGGGTAGGTCAGCTGAATATCACTCGGAGTTGTAATAAACAATCAATTAACAAAATGGTGTGTTTTTAATTATTGCAAAGTATATTAGGCGCAATTTAAAAGGTTCATACGTTAATCTTAATTATATTCAACTTTTTATGGCAATTTTATCCTCTTTTTGCGTGTTTTACGCAAGTTTAACGAAAACACTCAAATCACATTTCGTTGTTGTCGCGAAGTAATGAAATATTCAGGAAATATAATATCGATCCGTTATATTTTTATCCCGGAATGAATTTTCTACTGTTCAACAACAATTCAACAATTCACTGTTGGTTTAGTCTACGTTTTAATGAAATTTTGCGAAAATATTTAAATTTATTTGCGAATCTTTGCAATATTTATTATACAAATAAAATGAAACGTATGCTTATGTTGCAATATTGAATTTGATACTGCACTGGAAAGTTTACAACGGTTTGAGTTTTTTTTTGTTTTTTGCTGAAAAAACAAATTTTTCGTATCCTCAAAGTAAAAATCGACTATATTTCCGGTTATGATTAATGATTGGTAGGTAGTAATGTAATTTTAATAACGATAATTTACTGACGTATGATTAAGCATTTTTTATTCGACGTAAAAAAATTGTCATCTTTTTATACACAAATTTTTCTTCTATAATAATATCTAAATGTAATTTTTCTATGTCCGTTTATAGAATTTTTACTTGTCGAAACAAAAGTTTTGATCGTTTTATGAAACGTGAAAAAAACTTGGATTGGCACAAACGGGTCAAAATTTATTGTTAGTCAAAAGAAAAAAAAAGTAAGGTAGACTTGAGACAATAGCCAAAATGACCAACTGGACAACAGGCAGCATCGCCCAGCACAAGCAGAAGTCGAAGGAGAAGTTGGACGATGTCTGGGTGACTAAACTTTTCAATTCGGATGCGAATAAGGAATTCATCGAACATCTTATTTTTACCGTCAAGTTTGGTTCGGTTGTGCCTACGCTGCTGGTTGCTTTATATCTTGCTAACACGTAAGTATACGGATTAAAAATTAGTAAAAAATAACTAATCGAATAGAAAGAATATAAAATGAGGGACAATTTTTTTTACTTATTTTCGTACGATTTGACTTGATTTTGGTTTACCTACATTTTATTCAAAGTATTACACCGTCTAAAACTACATTGATATAGAAAATATTGAGGTAGGTAGATTATAACTCAAGTCGTTTTGTTCCTTTCCCAAAACCAGTTTTGGAAATTCGATATTTTGCTGTTACCATGCGCAAAAAAGCGGGTCGTTTATAATACATCAAATTAAATAATTATTTATTTTTTATGAATACTAAAAACGAATAATTTAGGTGAATGAATGAAATTTTTTCATGCCTAAAATTTCCAAGTAATAATTACTTCAAAGAAAAAGAAAAACGTACGAGTACACCGACCAAAACCAAATAATTTCACCAACCGAACAGCGACCCTCATTACTTTTTCTTAGTAACTAGTTGTTTCTTAACATGAACCCCCCTGGCACCCATGGGTGGCGGTAGGTAAATTGTATCGCCCGACCGGTCGGCCCGCCACGATTGGAACGTAACAATCGCGTGATGTGCACGCGATCGTTGTTGCGACGGCGCTACCGGTGCTACCGTTCCTTCCTCTACACTACGTCACAATATACGTAGCACCTGATACACGTCTACTGATATACGTAACACAAAATGCGAAAATCTCTCCGCACATAGCTAGGAAGTATGCAACTTATCCGTTTACGAGCGGCGTAGCGGTGATTCGCATAACTTTAAAAAGTTTTGTTACCGGCGTTACCATAGGTACCATCGTGTACATGTGGTTGGTTAGCACAGTTATCGCCGGCCAGTCACTCGCACCTTGCGCTCGTAGCCATAAGCTGTCAGTGGCTTGCCAGACATTGACCAAGCCGGCGAATATTTCGGCGGTTTCGCGAACACACCTCTACTGCTACCTTCGAATCAGACGCGTTTGTGGATAGAGTGCGCTTCGTGCGCATCACGAAGGGGTCTCTCCCGAAACAAACGCACAAAACGTGCGCGTTGTGCACGGCTATAAATCATATCAAGTTGCACCAGCGTAACAATAACTCAGATCATCGTGCTGACGCCCTTCGTGCGAATTGCACCACACGTGTGCCTGTAATTCGAATCAAATTCGGCTGCGAATCAAAATCTTCCACGCTCGTGTTACTTATACCAACATAAAATAAATCAATAATTCATTTGACTATAACAGTGCTCCGGTTTATTTATTTAAAGTGTCGAGTTGGCCTACAGAAGCCGTGAACAATATATAACTTTATTTTGATAAGGTTTTAATTCATACTCGTGGTGTTACTGACGCTGAGCATTCCTATTAGTGCAGAACTACTTACCTCAACGACGTGTTTGGCCTTAATTCGATTTAATTGAATTAATGAGTTTTTTTACCGCTTTATTATTGACGTTATAGTTAAACCAGTGAAATTTTCTGTGATTTATTAAATTAAAATTATTATCATTCTTCATCATGGCGTTCGAATGCGATAATAAAGCGAAGCATAGTGTTATACAAATGTGTAAAGATCTGCAATACCACGTTGTTGGGATGCCGGATGCGTGTCCGCGGAAGAAAAAAATTTACTTCTGGTCGAAGAGGTAATTTTTTATAATTTCTTGTGACAATAAGAGGTAATTGAGGGGCTTTCATTCGTTGTTACGCAGTGACGCTCTCTTGTTAATTAGCACACAAAGGAGGAATGAAGCTATAAAAGTAATAAAATATAATAGATACGAATTGCTCATTGAAATTGCGGTTGGTATGTGTGCGTGTGCATTGTTACGCCGGTTGGAAGTGATTGCATTCAATCAGTCAACAATCACGTTATAAAATATATTCAATTGATTTCTTTTGCATACAAGTATTTTTCATTTGCATTCATGTAATAATGTTTCATAATTATGAAGAGAAAGAGTGTAAAAAGTTGTTTTTGGATTTTTATTCCTGTGACAAACTGTAATTTTAATGAAATATAAAAAAAACATAGTTTTTGTAAATATTTACAAAGATCAATTAATACTAAACTTGTAATTTGCTTAATAGTATTTATTTTTAAGTTTTGTTATTATGAAATTATTAATTACAGTTATGAATAAGAAAATTCATTACTTCATTAACAAAAACGATAATTTAAGCAATTTATATCTGTATGGTAATTAGTATTTAAATAATCGCAAAAATTTATCAATACTGCGCAAGTAGTAGATATGCTTAATTTTTCTGATATATATTTCAAAACAAAATTTCATTTGAATTTTAAATTTGACTTTAAAATTCAATGTTTGTAGATTTGGTGGAGGCGCCTATTTTACATTTTATTAATTCGAGTCGAAGATAATTAATTAAAGTGATAAAAAGTCGCGTTTCAATATTTTGATTTTTTAAATATTTATGTATGTATGTAAAAATATCAAAATTGGAGTTGCATTTTTGTGATAATTTAAATTTCATTTTGAATTCGAAATTTCCATTTCATTCATGATGTGGAAAACTCTAAGCTATCATAACTATCAAATATTTATTCTAGTAACAGCATATTTATTTTTGTTTTCATCAAACATCCAACCTAATGTTTACCACCGAAATATTATCTATAAAAAATCCTTGACATTGAAAATGGCGTGATTTCCAAATCGCACACGTTCCATAAACACGTGATTTGAAATTACAAGCATTTTGCAGCATTATCATCGAAAATCACTACAATAAATGTCAATCGCCGTTTATAGCACTGCACATTCATTCCGCGTGCTACAAATTCCGTGCAATTAACTAAAGAGTTCACGAATAGGCGAACAACACGAACTACAAAATTGCAGGTACGAATTGAACGATAATGCGAGCGTTTATTTAAAAAATGCAAACTTTTTGATTAGAGGTTGTCGCCAAGCGTAAAGTTGTAATTTCTTCCGCGTAATTGCACCTTACGATATCTTACTAAACATAAATTGATGTAATTTATTTGTTATGTTTCTTTTTGTAGTCACGTGCTAATATTTGATTTTGATGTGAATGTTATTAATCTCACGCGAAATGTTTATTTATTATTTATTGATTTGACTTGTGTGAGAAATCTTTATAAATGAATGGATGTAACGTCATTTTTAATCAGTGTTGATAACAATAATTCCTTTTCTTTCTTGTGGGAGCCATCCTCTGACGTTTTTAATTGGTAATTTTTATTAGTCCCACCAGTAATGATAATAACCTCCATTATCGTAATGTGGTTACCCAATGCGCTTATCATGTTGCAATGTAATCAGTCCAATTTTGCGAAACACGTGATTGAAAGCTTTCTGATGAATTTTCCAACTTCCAAGAATTGCATTATCACAATTTGATTGCATATTCATCGAGCATGAAATTATAAAACTTTGCAATCAAATAAACTTCGGCATTTATATGAGCTAAAAGATAATCTTTGATCGTTTTTTTAATAGTCTAATAAAAGTTATATCATTGCATCAGCTACGGTCTTAATTTATTATTGTACGTCAATAGGATAATTATATCGTACCGAAGAAGTAAATATTTATACCTACCTCAAACGCACGTCAATTTCAACAGACGTCAATCCAACAAAAATGTATCGATTTGTTCCCGATGTTAATTGCATTTTTTATTTTCCTATTTTCAGATTAAGCCTATGGACATTGAAGCTTTCATTGGTCATATTCTGCTTAGTGTTTGTGATAGCACCATTTATTTACAAATATCTCTATGCACTGCAACGTAGTCTGGTGTATTTAAATTTTGGTAAGTTTATCATAATTTGTTTTCATTCTAACATAATGTAATAATAAAAATTATTTTAGTGAGCTGGCCAAGAAATCCAAACTTTAGCGATCCGTCCGCATATAAAATCGAAGGTGTTCGCAATCTTTATCTAACTACCGATGAGGACGTGCGGCTTGGCGTGTGGCAAATTCTGCCGGAAGATCTCGTGAAAAACGACACTGACCTGACAACGGAGTATTTCGAAGACGCACTCAAGGACGGGCGCGATGTGATCATTTACAACCATGGCAATTCGGGCCATCGGCTCGCTGAACATCGCATGGAATTGTATCACTTGCTGCGCAAGAAGTACCACGTTATTTGCTGGGACTATAGAGGTGAGTAACCTTACGATTTAATAGTAATCAATGACTCATTATTGTATCTACCTAACATGAATGTTATTACATATTTTATTTATATTTTAAGGGTACGGAGATTCGTCTGATATTGAACCAACAGAAACTGGACTCGTGAGTGATGCGAAATTTGTTTATAAATGGGTTTTGAACCAAACAACTAGCAACATTTTCCTTTGGGGACATTCTTTGGGAACTGGTGTATCCACACATATGTTGGGAGACCTTTCAAAAGAAAACATTAAGAAACCACGCGGGTTGATCTTGGAGAGCCCTTTTAATAGTTTCACAGACGAAATTGCGGAACATCCGTTTGCTAAAGTAAGTAAAGTGTTAGTTTGTGCTCCATAATTATTTGTAATTATTATTTTTAATAAGTAAAGTATTAACACAGCAATTTTTAGCTTTTCAGACCGTTGCCCTGGTTCCACTACACGATCATCGATCCGATGTTACAGAACGGTTTTGTTTTTGCCTCCGACAAGCATATTATTAAAGTTGATTGTCCTATTTTGATTCTTCATGCGGAGGACGATTTAGTTGTGCCTTACTCGCTCGGAAAGAAGGTAATCATCGAGCATTTGTTGCGCATCAATTACGTTTAATTCACTTATAATAAAATTACAATAAACTATAATTTTCTTTCTTGTATAACAGTTATACGAAACAGCTCAGGATTTCCGACGATCAACTCAGGGAAATGTTACATTCGTCGGTTTTGAGACAAAATTCAATTATGGTCACAAATATATTTGCAGAGCACCAGAATTACCAGAAATGATAGAGTAAGGAGACTGATTTATGCTTCAAAATGATAAAATTTTATTTATATTTTAATGTTTTAGCAACTTTTTTATAACAGCCGCCAAAGAATCCGAAGACAAAAAATTGTAAATACTTTCGGATAAACAATGGAGGAAGCCAAGTGAATCTCTAGCAAAAATTCCTATACGACAAGCAGAAGGCAAGATGGCCTCACTCAATTGCATCGAACGTTTTAGTCAAATCAATTCATTCCTACATATTTGCACACTTCTCTAGTAGTTATCAACGTAACTAATTTACCTACTTAACTTCTTCACACTACCTCTTCTCTATTCATGTTTATGATAGCCGTGTTTATTATCCAGTTGGCATTAGTTGAAATTCTCAGTGAGAACAACAGATGAACCACGTTAATCAAAAACAATTGACATGGCATCGGGTAGGATTAAATGAATATGAATCACAGTTACTGCGGCTGATCTATCGGTGATGATATAAAGGTCGATCTATATTTAGTGAAGTAGCTAGATAAATTTTTGCGCGCATACTAAATAAAAACTTGTGATGTAATTTTTTTTAATGTAATATGTATGTAGCACCAAATGACATTTCTAATGGCCGCGCTCGCAATTACCAAAGCAAGACATTTATTTAAGGTGAAAGATTACACATTGTAAATTGTAATTGCGACTGCGACGGCCTGAAATACTGTGAAGAGGTCCTAAATTGATTTAGGATTACGATTACCAATATTTAGATAGATCTTATAGCGTGTAACACTAAACTAATTGTAGTGAAATAGGTGAAAGTAAACGATTGTTTTACGTACGTATTGAGGTATTATTAGAACAAATTGTCCGCATTGTTTGTGATTATTTATTCGATTATTTCTTTTTTGATGGATGATTCTGCGATTAGTTTTTGAAATTGTTTTTCTAAAGGTAAAATTGTAACTTTTGTTATTTGATTTCTGAAATTATTGTGAATTGTTTTAAAATTAAGAAGAAAAAATCAATTATGGTTTATTATTTCCCATTTACCCTTAACTATTTTTAAAATACTGCTTCCATGGAAACAGCAACCTAACTATTTGTAGTATTTCACTGCCAGCTCGTAATTTTCTGCGAAACACGTGTTGAAATAGTGTGGAAATATTAGTTTTGAAACAATTGAATAAAATATTCCGACAAACTGATACCGTTAAACAGCGTTTATGTACGGAAATCGATCAAATATCCGGATTATTCATGAACAAGTGTTGTCATTTAGTTCAATGTATGATTTATTACTCATAAGATATACTTTCCATGTGCGTAACAAGAGACCTCACCTAAATTGATACTGATTTCTTTGAGAAATCACATTTTGGAATTTCCCTTCGCAAACTTTGCTTTATGTAATGTAAGCTAACATAAAAATGATGAATTTTGGGAAGATCATCTAAGTGCAAGTGCGTCACTCAAATCAGTGTGTGGTAGATGTCACTGAAATGATTATGAGTCGACAGAATGCGGAATTCAAGTGTTCTAAAATAAACTTTTTGGCTTTGTTCTGAGCAATTATTCTAGGATCCAAAATTTATTCGGATTTATTACACTGTGCAAAAATATTAAGATTTCAATATTTGATAATCGAGTTATTTTTTAATGAATCACTTTATTATCTATGATAAAATATTTAACAATCGGTGACTAATAGAACTTGAAATGTTTATAACTTTTACCCTTTAACATCTCATTTAGATCGATCATGTTGCTCTAGATGCAACAACGATAATAACAAACACAATAATAAACTCCTTTAATTGTGTTCAATTTTGTTTGTGCTTCGATTATGATCGTTTATTCTGTTTAAATTGCATAAAAATTGATAACACAATTTTTGATTTCCTTGTGAAAGTTTTTGCTCTGATATTTTTTATGTTTATAAAACATGCAAAATTACCCAGCAGGTACTTGATAACTCAGGGATTTTACAAATTGATGTCAAAAACGAGTTCACACTAGCATTTTATTTATCATGCCCACGTTTATGTACTCTCATTGATGAATATCGCGTTATAATTCAATTACAAGTACCCACTTGATAACGCGAGGTACCGATGCTAGAGATCGCTTATAAGCTACTAACTCACCAAATTTCGTTCAGTTGCGTTCAGTTTTATAGTGTGTGCGGTCGACCGGTGTACGCCGGCTCACAAATTGAAACGCACAATCACCTCTAGCTACAAAACTTGTGTAATAATAATAACAAATAGAAAAAGACGAGAAATCTGCTTACATAAGCATAACAGTAATTTTGTGCGAGTGTGTACTCCGCTCATTATTCTCAGTGCAACAATAACAATATTCATTTTAAATCACAATGAAGTGCTGTAAAAAAATGGTAAAAACACAATCGACCGCAAGTTTTCCGCTTTCTCAACTAAATGTTTTCGTTTTTTGTTGCGTTATAGTATCGGCGAAGCGATTATGATTCAGATTCTGAATCAGGGCCTGGATATTATAAACCCCAAGAAAAAGCCAAGCGTTCGTGTATGTGTAAAGTTTTAATTTGGACCACTGCTATTCTGTAAGTATTATTACGTATAAAATTTAATTAATAATTATATCTGTTACGTATTTACATAGGTAATGTAATATTAATGAGTTAAATACTAGAATGATAAAATAAAAGTTGAAAATCAAAAACAGTATCATGTAAAATTGGTTTTAAAAAAATATAGATTGGTACCGAATATGTACGTATTACTATCCAGGGAAATTCCTACGTAATTATTAAACAATGCAGTACAAAAGTAGAGATAAGATTAAAATTTATTTTGCATATTTGTATGATTGCATGGTTGTATCTATTAATCTGATTTACAATAGTGTTTTTTATTTTTGTAGTTTTTCATTATTGCTGTTGGCCTTCCTCGTCATATGGGTTATATTTCCGTTGGTTTTCATGAACACCATCAGCCTACAGAGAACTCTCATGTTTCCGAACTGTGAGTACATAATATTTTTCATATATTCGCTTCCTGGGTTTGGTTGAACCTAGCGTGTTTTAAAATAGATTTCTCTGCGTCTGTTTTGTCGACACACTATTTCAAAACACTCGTGATTTATCTATCTACTAATTCAACGTGTACGTACTTATTGAAAAGTGGATTAAGTGGTATCTACTTGCTAAAATTTTCGAAAAGGACCTAAAAAATAAATGAGGATTTTTTACTTAATGAAATGAGTTTTGCGCTTAAAGCGGTAATTTAAAATAGTTTTGCTTTATTATTATAACGGTTTTACTGCGTCGTAATTCATAATTGGCCTTTAAGGAACAATTAATAGAATAAACGATTTTTTTTTCTAGTTGATCAACCAGAAAACCCTCAATACGAATCATATAAATTGTATGGCGCGAAAGGAGTGAAAAACAGATACATAACAGTCAAAGATTTGTATAATGAAACCGATGGAGTGTCACTTGGTGTGTGGCAAGTTTTACCTGCAGACCGTATCAATGCTACCGATTTCGATTCTGAACTTCGCAACAGCGAAAAGCCGATTTGTATTTACTTCCATGGTAACAGTGGTACGCGCATCTATCCATATCCGATGTATCAGAAACTTCGAGAGTTCTTCCATGTCCTTGCTGTTGATTATCGCAGTAAGTTTATCTAAATGTATTTTGTATAAATATTGATATTAATAAATGTTGTTGTGAATTTTAGGCTACGGAGACTCCACGGAAGCGTTACTAACTGAAAAGGCAGTTGTCAATGACTTGGTGCAGTTTTATTACAAAGTGCTCGAGCTTACAAACCAAAGAGAAGTGTTCTTTTGGGCACATTCGTTGGGCACGGCCCTGTCAACACACACATTACGTAAAATCACTGAGGGACACAGTAGTGCTCCTGATAGACGACTTCCGAGGGCGCTGATGCTTGAAGCGCCATTCACCACCATGAGAGAGGAGATTGAATATCATCCAATTGGAAAGGTACGAACAGATAGCTTATATTAATATAGGTGGCGCTTTTACAACCTTCAAAGTTTATTGTCTGTGCAACTTGCATGCAAAAACTTATAATAACTAATTTATTATAGTTATTTGCATGGTTACCATGGTTTGATGCGACAATCCGTGACCCGCTTGAAGAAAATGGCTTCCACTTTTGGACAACCACGAATATCCTGAGTGTAAATTGTCCAATTATGATCGTCCACGCAAAGGACGACAGCATCATTCCATACACATTAGGAGAAAAACTAGCGCGCATAGCAATGACAGAGAGAGATCCAGTGAAGCAAGGCGAGGTCACCATACATATCATTCCCGAAAGTGCTCGCTGTGACCACATGGATATCAATAAATATATCGAGCTTCCAAAGTTTATTTCGTAAGTATTTATTTTTTAAATAAATCTCAAGTGTATTGCCAATAGTAATCAAGTATATTAACATCAATATTTCCCCATTTCAGAAACTTTTTGAAGGACGTTGATGAATGGTACAACAAGCGTACCGGCCTTAAAACGTAGGGTGAGGGGAGTTGGTGGTCCTAAAAGCGTACGACTGTGTTATTTATTTACCAATCACTAAGTACTGAGTACAAATATGTTTTTATATAAAGTTATTGAAAATATATAGTAATAATTTATTAACTGACTTTAATGTTAAACAATATTGTGTACAAGGTCTGTTAGAATTACTAGGTAAATACAGGTTTCATGTTTCGTAATTTCGCAACGTGTATTGTAGTCATCTGTAATCGGTACCTTTGGGGTAAACAATTGATTAGATATCGTCACATTCCATTAGGGGACACATCTGTTTCGTGTGAATTTTCGTTTTTCATGCTTTGTAGATTAATAACAAATATAGACATTCGGTTTGGTATCGATAGATAAAGCATTTTTCAAACATAAAAAGAGGAGAGTCGGCAGGGCTTGAGTAATGACATTGTGAGATTAATAACATGTTATTTGCTGAATTTTTTACACAGTTTTTACACAATAAAACAAAAATAAAAATTATTACATTGCTTGTAGGTACATGGCCAGAGTATTTAATTTCCACTGAATTGTCTATTTTAATTGCATTTCTTAATTAAGAAAATGCGCAACACAATGTTCAAAGTTCAATTTACACAAATCATTTCAATTGAAAACAAAAACAAAACAGCAGTTAGTTGTTTAACAAGTTCAACATTTTTATTCATTAGATGCTAACAGAAACGTCTAATTGATGATTCAGTTTAATAGTACACTACTAGACGGCACCCTAGACGGCTTCAATGCATAGGTGTATTGTTGGTTATCGACCTCAACGCATCTACAACGTTTTCATCGACTGATTGACTAATCTCAAAAGTGCCGACGCATTTTCGAAATTTGAATTTTAAATCAATTAATCAATCGATTCGAATAGAACACAATGGTCGTGTTTACTTCATTTGCGATGCCAGAGTCTCCAGTGCATTTAGAGCAGCGAAATACAAAAGTTGTGTTAGACAAACGCGAGATTGGAAGTGGAACTTTATTCGTTAGTGAAAGGTAGGTTAGGAACACAAATAATCTAACAATTTTATCATGTTATGTTCGTTTACTAATGCGTATTCAATACGTTTGCCTCAGAACACTCTGCTGGCGGGATGGGGAAGTCGGGTTTTCGTTGTCGTACGCAAATATTTCTCTGCATGCTATCTCAAATGATGCCAATCTCTATCCAAGTGAATGCATTTACATCATGATTGATCAACATGTGCAAATGCCAGGTTGGTTTTCTTCATTTTATTCTTGTTGTTTAAATCATTTATTAATTGTTACATTTGGGATAGGAGTCAACTATGAAGTCCCAGCTGCTGTCAGTGATGAGGATAGTGATGCTGAATCTGAAGCAGACATTTCAGAACTTATTTTAGTTCCTGAAGATAACACAATGATCAAACTTGTTTATGAAGCTATGAGAGAATGTCAGGTATGCATTTTAATCAGTTCTAAAGCATATTGTGCTTAAAAATGTATTTTGGATGATTTTGTTCACTTGTGATAAAAATGTTGATGATTTTTCCCTTGTTACCTTGCATTAGGCATTAAATCCAGACCCAGCAGATATGGATGATGAAGAAGACGAAATTTATGAAGATGCCGACAACGAGCCCATCTCAAATGATGATGCCGGCGCAGGCGGTGATTATGGTAACTATCGACGTCAGAAACACATTCATTCATTAATTAAAACTTTACAGTTGCACAAATGGTTAACGAGATGAACACAATGAACGTGGCATACGACTACAGCAACGGCGACCATAACGATGAGATTTTCGAAGATGCTGACTAAATCTAAATAGGTAATTAATATATTGGACTATTTATCTCTTAGTAATTTTAAAGGAGGCGCCATATTTTTTGCTATTATGTCGGTATAAGTCCGCTTTTGTTATAACGTATTATGAAAAAGTGAAATGGATGAAAGGATAAAATAACATGTTCTCGAGAGAAATTAATAACTTTTTATAATCGAACGAAAAATGCTTCATTTCATAACTCAAAACAAATTTGTGGAGAAAATAATATGAACATGACAAATGCCGGTCAACGTACCCGCTTCCCGAAGATCAAATCGGCGTCTGGCGCGCCTTTTGGGTGCTGATATTTTTTCCGTTCGCGATTCAGATTTTGCGTCACTGGCGGCCTGCTCTGCTGCAGAATCATTTCTTGATAGTCTTCCTCTTCGAATCGTTCGGTTATATTTAACGTCAGTCTTTTTACTTTTTGTTTTTCTTCTTTCTGCGCTTGTTCTTGATCGCGCAAGTTCTGCGCCAACTCTGAATTCACATCCGCCTGAAACGTTTTGTACTGTTGTTTGTTGCCTTTGCGTACCATTAGTACGAATCCCATCGTATTTGACGTAGCTTCTTCAGTTTCCTATTCACAATAATATTTGATATATAAATTAATCTGATAGGATACTTTAAATTTAAACTTACCTGCAATTGGTCGTATGTTTTCTTATTGGACTTGAGAACAAATGGCACCGAAATATCGACGGATGTCTTGACAGTCTCGCGCATTCTTTCCTGAATATTCTCAGAGACCATTTTGTCTAAGGCATTCTGAAAATCATCATCTTCAGGACAGTCCACGCGTTTTGGCCCACTCGGTATCGCCTCTGTTTCACTGACTTCTTCTTCACCGTCCGGCTCTGCCTCACTGAGTTGTTCCATTGCTTCGCCTTCATCATCAGACCCTTGCGTGTGATCTTGTGTTTCATCCTCTGTCGCCGTGTCATCGGTGATGGGATTTGTCACACAGTCAGACGCTTCATCATCGGCGGGATCTTCGTTGTCAGTCTCTTGGATTACTTCTAAACCATCTTCTTTATTCTCCTCAACGGTAGTTAACTTTTCTGTAGATAAATTGTTTTAGTTAGTTGATAAAAGCATACACCGCTAGACGTAATTACCAATGTCTAATGCTTTGCGAATCTTCTCTATTTCCTTCTGCGCCTCTTCATAACTTTGCACCAGCGTCAACTTCGGTCGTAGTTGATGCAACGTATCACGGAACAAGTGTTCCATCGGTGGAGGAAACGCTTCACCCCAAAGACCCCGTTTGAACCAGTAGTACGCTTGGAAGAAGACTAGAAAATAATCCAGTTTCTTTTTACTTGCGCCGCTGCTGAAATACATACCTGAAATAATAATTCAAGTTAAATTTAAATTAAATTTATCAATCGTAATTTTGTATGAATGATTCATACCACATGTTTCCATCAAAACGCACGCCAATCGTATGCGGAATAAATGATTAGGAGGATCAAGCGGCGATGGATTTTCTACATCCATGCTCACTCCAAAACTAATCAGAGAATATAAGACCTTAAAGATGTCAGCACTTTCCACCATCCGATAGTTATACAATTCGCCCAAATATTTCACTTGTGCGACTCGCCGCTGATTGAATTTCGGAACATTCACTTCCATTCCAAGTCGAATATCTTCCAGAACGCCATCAACTACTTTAGTTCCAACTTCTTCTTGGTATGAAACTAATCCAGCAAGTAAATTCGCCAGCCACTTGATATTTAAATATTTCATATTGTGCGCACTTGTGAGACATTTAACAGTATACGCCGAAATGTCCTCATCTTGCCAATTAAGTTTCCGCATCAGTTTTAAAATCTTATCCGTATTATTCTTCTGCAAGTCCTGATAAAGCAATTTGCGGATGAATTGATGCATCGGCGGACGTTCTTTCTTCGGAATAGTCACACTCTCCGGCGGATTTACATAATAATACGCATTTTCTATCTGCGTGACATATCTAGAGTCCAATGCCATAACTGCCTTCTTGCGCATCATCTGCTCTAAATACACTTTTGTCCGCTGATGTGATTCCGGATGGTTAAATAAGTAATGTCCACAAACTTCCAGCAAATTGCACGCCATTTCAATGTGATGATGCGAAAAATCATAGAGCAGAACTTTCAAGCAATACAACGCTTCAATCTTTGAATACAAATTGAATTTAACCAATTCGCCAATGTAACGCACCACTTTAATCTTCGACTCGATGTTGATCTGATCCTTCTTGCGCACGTGGTACTTGAAATCCTGGCGCAGCATCGCGCATAGTTCGTTACTTATTTCTGGCAGTGCAGGATAAAGAATTGCGACGAAGCGGCCGTAAAAGGGTAGTAGATCCAAACGTGTGCGATTAACGCCAAACAATGTGCGTACTAGTTTGCGACGATTGTGTTTCGTGTTGAGCGTGACAAGAAAATCGATTGCTGCGTTGTCGATTAATTCGCGATTTACACAATTGGGTAAACTGTTCAAGAATGCTTCCAAGACTATTTTATTACTCACTGTCACTGCAGATGTATCTTCTACTTCTTCTTCTGCTATAGACGGTTCTTCGACTTTACCTGTAAATTATAATTTAATATAAATAAAACTGAAGATCCGAAATTCTAAGTTGAACTACCGTCATCTTCGACTTCTTCGGCAGGTATCTCCGAATCCAAAACTTCTTCGGTGACTTCCGACTCGGCTTCGGGTTTTGGCGGAACATTTTTTAACATTGAAGACGGTAAAAACGCTTGTAACTCGAGCAATTCGCAATAAAACTTTTGCGTTTCCGAATCGCCCCATATATTTTCCCCGGAAGCTTGAGCACTGTCTAAATCCATATTAGCACCTGCACCTGTTACAACCATACTCTAAAATAACATAAAAATAACATACATTTTAGGTGATTAGGTGAATCAGTACCTCTTCTTCTTTTATGATAAGATTAGCTCGTAGTTCGGGCATATCTTCATCAAGAATCTCTGCAAAATTCTGCGTCGCTGTAAATAATTTGTCATAGGAATTTCTCAGTGATTCCAATCTATCCTTCCTCTCTTGACTCAATTCGCCCTTAGTCTGCATAATCCTATGATTTTGCTTCTCAAATTCTTGCATTTCATTGTGATCCTTGATTAAATGTTTGCACAAAGAAGCATAATAATCTTTGAGCAAAGATTTCACCTTATTCTGCTGCTCAGGCAGCAAAAATCCTGATCTTTGTATTGTTTTGTTATATTTTATAGATAACTCTTTGATTTTCCTTGGTACCAAACCAGCATAATCATCTCCACAGTGTTTACAAAAGCTCAAAATAATTGAAACATTCAAATGCTCTTCCTTATCCATATTTATTAGTATGGTGAGTGCTGTTCCAAGTAGGGTGAAAGCAGTTTTATTGTTAAACATGCTTACACTAACCAAGTCAGCATAGAATCTTAAATCAACCCTTAATTTGGATGGGTTTGGAATCTTTTCACCCATTTTGAATGATAAAGTTTTTTGCCAATTCTCAAACAAATGCTGTGAGAAATCGGAATAAGTCTGATGTAACACACAGCACATTTTAATTGCAGCTGCCACATCAGTCATCTTCAGCTTGGAATCAACAATTGCAGCTGCAATTTCTGAAATATACTTTGACAAGTTCAATGTGGACATATCCTTCAGGTAGGCATCAATCTGTGTGGACGTGAAGTTTTTGATTTTCTTGACAAATGTCGTGTTCTTCTTGAGACTGGAATCCAGTTTCGAGAAGTACGACTCGCTCGGTCTTGTGTTGGGTGCATTTTGATTAACGTTACGCGTTTCGGCCTTGGAGGTTATGCGCTCGTTTGTTTCCTGTATGAATGTGTCGAGCAGTTTCAGCCCGTCTTCGGCGTTGTCGCTTGTCGATTGCTTTGCGGACAATGCGTCGTCCACTTGCTCTGGTATTGTCATCGCAAAATTATTCAATGATGAAATGGATAAAAACACTGACTAAAATATTCATTACTATTTTGTTTTGAGGGTTTGCTGACTTTGACGTGTAGACATATGACATTTGTTGCGCATACGCCGAAAACATGACGCAAAGTTCGAAATATTACACAGGGCCAGATGCAAAATGTTATAATGTAAAACTTAGAACAAGTAGATTATTTTGGTTTCTTTTGTAAATATTCTTTAAGAAATATACATGTGTATTATATTCTAACGTATTTAGTTCAACAAGTACTTCCAAGAATATAATCATTAAATGGTTGTAATATTGTTTGACTTTGGAACAGGTATAAAAGAGTGGGGATGAGAGTAGGGTTGAGATGCTGTCATGGCGTCTTCGTTCAAAGAAGTGTTTTGATGGTGGTTGTTTTCGGTCGACGCGTTTCGCTTCCCGTTTGCAACGAATTCATCTTTGGAGGCACTTCGTTTTACTCCTATAACGCGACGCTCACTTGGCTGTGATTAGTGCGTGTAGTTTTTCACGACTTTCGAAATGGGCAAGCGTAAGAATCAAGGCGTCACGGACTCCGAGTCCAGCAATGATTCAAACAGCGACATCGACGATAGCGTAAGTGATAGCATTCAAAACAAGCTTTTAAATATATCTTTGGAGGTTAAACATAATTGCGTGCTATTTAAAAATAAAAATTACGAAAACTGGTACAAATGATGCGTATGTTTCGGTTGTGTAATTTTTGCACGATCAATTGTATCCGAGGGCGTGATGTAAAAATGTATCGATTCACGTGGTTATTAATTGGAATAGACCCTAATTGATATTGATTTTATGGATAAGGATAAAGGAGATAATACTTGTGTAATCTGAAAGTCGTCATCTTTTTATATTCATACTGGTTAGTAAACATGTTTGGTTTTTGTACATTGCAATTTCGTCGTTTGCCGAAGTTCTCTTTTACATAACCTCGAAACGTTTACAGTAATGTATACTGAGAAATTTAAATCTATATATGCACATACAATTTATTTTTTGGAGGACAAAGCATTATATAAAATTTAATGTTTAAATGTAAATGTTTTGAAAACTTAGATAGTTTAATTTGTTGATAAGTGATTATTTGGAATGCAAAATCTATTTTGGTTTCCATGGTGATATATTATTTGTTTTTGGTATTGTTTTTCCCTTGTTACTTTTAAAACAAAAAACTATAGGTTTGACAGCATCATTCATTTTGCAAATATTATCATTTCTCATTTGCCTCAAAGCACAATGAGTATCTTTTGGCTGATTAATAGTACAAATCAAAACGCTATGAAAACAACAACGCCCCGCGTGGCAATAACAAAACGTTGGTCTGGTTTTCATTTTACATTAATATCGCGGCAAATATGGTACCTTTTCCAAATTCAGTTTAATTTGCTTGGTATTTATGGCAAATTTTATTTATTTCAGGAATTCCTGAATTTGGCCAAGAAGAAAAACAAGAAAAAGCGGTCACCTGTACACAGTGAAGATGGAGACAGCTCTGATTCAGATTCTGATAGCGGCAAACATCGATCAAAGAAGAATAAATCACAACGCAGCCACTCAATGTCTTCAGATTCGGATAAAGGATCTCCCCGACATGTTCCTGAAAAATCACAGGACCACAACTCTGAACCGGAGGAAGGCGAGGTTTCCGATTCGTCCGACTCTTCGGAAGCTGAGTTCAATGATGGATACGATGATCAACTCATGGGCGATGAAGAAGACAGAGCTCGCCTGGCTAGTCTCACTGAAAAGGAACGTGAAACCGAGATCTACAAGCGTATCGAACAGCGCGAACTTATGAAGCACAGGTGATTTTTTAGAATCCGTCATTCTTACTTCAATTCGGTGTGTGACATAATTATTATGTCAATTTTTTATTGTGATACAGCGAATTTTATTAAGCTTTAATTTTGATTTTAATTAGGTTTGAAATTGAGAAAAAATTACGACAAGCAAAGAAAGCCGAGCGGGCAAAAGAAAAGCCCAGGGAGAAGTATGCAAAGGACCGCGGTGATCGTGGAGGCGACATTAGCAAATCGTTGCAGACAGACTTTAGCTCAATTGACCATAAAGAACGCAGCAAAGAACGCAAGAAAAACATTGAGGAGAACCGCGGCAAGGTAGATAAGCGTGTAAACGCAATGGCGGAGTTGAAAGCCAGACGCGAAGGAAGACAGCGACGGGAAGAAGTGGAAGCAGCGCGACGCGAAGAACAACGTAAGAAAGATGAAGAGGACTCCTTATCAAAGAAGAACGATGTACGGTTAAAAGCGTCGGACATTTATTCCGATGACAGTGAGAGTGATGGCGGCGATGAGAAGGAACCGGTGCCAACTTCACAACCGGCGCCGAGAACGCAGTCGCGTTCATCATCAAGTTCGAGTTCCAGTGATCAAGAACAGCACAATGAACGCAGCAAGCCGAAATATGTGCCGACGAGGATAGACTTAAATTCCGTGAGATTGTCCAGGCATAAATTAGAGAAGCTGGTGCATTTGCCGTTCTTCGATCGTGTGGTCAAGGGATGTTTTATTCGAATTGGAATTGGTCAGCATAATAATATTCCTGTATATCGTGTTGCGGAAATTACAGGGGTTTATGAGACTGCCAAAATTTATCAACTAGGCAATACTAGAACCAATAAGGTAAAAAACATTGCTTGTTCTATAAAAGTTTATTTTAATGTTTGATGTTTTTGTATTATCAGGGATGCAAAGTTAGACACGGTAAAGGTGAGCGCGTTTTTCGTTTGGAGTACGTATCCAACCAGGAATTTACCGATGCGGAATTTCAAAAGTGGATAGAAGCATCTCACGCTGCCGACACACCAATGCCTTCAAGAGAAGAAGTCGCACAAAAACAAGCTGATATCAAGGAGGCCTTAAACTATGAGTACAATGAAAAAGATGTTGACAGAATTGTAAGTAATTTTCACATAATACCCAATCAATTTTATAATTATGTTTTATTTTATTTTTATAGATCAAAGAAAAAGAAAGATTCCATCACAAAACGTTTAATTACGCTATGAAAAAGACACAGTTAATGAAGGAGCGCGATTCCGCGTTGAGCCGCGGTGATGAGGAAGTTGCCCGTGATTTCAGTCAGAAGATTTCCGACTTAGAGGAGCGTGCCTCCGAACTAGACAAAATGCGCACTAGTTCCATATCCAGCATATCCTACATTAACGATCGCAATCGAAAGCGTAACGTGGAGGAAGCTGAGAAGGCAATCATGGAGGAGGTACGCGCGAACAAGGGAAAGAAAATTGACGACCCTTTCACACGACGTTCGACGAAGCCACGGATGAATTTCAAAGCTGCGCCCGAAGAGGCAGCGGAGCCGACACCAACGGCAGCACCTACGCCAGTGGAGAAACCCGTAGAGAAGGAGAAAGAAAAAGCTCCGGCACAAATTTCTCAGGATGATCTCTTTTCTGCTCACGATTTTGATATTAAAATCGACCTAGAACTTCCCCCTCGTAAGTTATTACACATGTCGGAGTATGCTTATGTGAATATTAATGTAATTATCTTGTTACAGCCCAAACCGTGAACGTAACGGCAAATACAACAAGCACCAACAATGTCAACGGTCCTAAACGAAGTTTAAATTTACAAGACTATAAAAAGAAACGTGGTTTAATTTAAATTTTTATTGTCTAATTATTAACATATATGCGACCATTGCTCTTGAGTAAATGATGTTAAATGATTGATTACGTACCAGTTAAGAATGTAGGTAAACTCGCATCTTAAAAGTAAGTTATATACTATGATTATGTATCACGGTACGATTTAAGATTGTTTTAATTTAGGAGCTAACTATATAGTTTTGAATACGTATTGTACTGAACTAATTCAGCAAGTTGACGCTTGCCTGAAGTACTTGGTTGGAAATTGAATTAATGAAGCTGTACATAATTATGTAATAATTTCTTTAAATGAATTTCAATCGTAACAAGAGTTGGACCGTGCATTGGGATAGACCCGTTTCTTTGATAAATTGCGTTGACTGATTGTTTAACTGTTTGACTAATAGTTTATTGTAAGTACACTTGGATACAGACGAATAAAACTTCATAGAGTCAATTTTATTACTTGTTATTCTCCGATCACATTCGAAGAGCCTCTTTTTTGACGGTTTTGAGACATGAAAAGTGGCAATTTAATCACGGACAGCTAAGGCCGAGACTAAAGTACTTTAGTGACGGGGTGGAATTTCCAAAATCAACTGTAACTAACTAATTCATAAAACCTAATGTCTAATTTTTGCTTGTTTTAGGGATTTTACACCCGAGTCCGATATCGTATAAGGACTATTTTTGCAACAGATTGTAAGTATGGAATTTCTTTATCATCTTCCTAAGTAACTTTGTGATTATCTCACAAATTGACCCTTAAAATTGCATTTTTATGCTTCGTAGGGCTAATTTTTGCTTGTTTTAGGGATTTTGCACCTGAGTACGATATCGTAGGACAATTCTTGCATAAGATTGTAAGTATTGAATTTCTTTATCATCTTCCTAAATAAAGTTTGTGATTATCTCACAAATTGACCCTTAAAATTGCATTTTCTGCTTCTAAGGAATAATTTTTCTTGTTTTATGGTAAACGTATGCTATAAGAAAAATTGTGAGTTTCGTGCATTGTAATATCGGTAACTGCTTGTGTACATTCAGTCATTTCTACTTATATATATTACATGGATCGTTATTTGTTTATTTTCCGTTCAAGGAAGTGAGATAGAAATAGCGGAATGAGGTTAGCTAGAGCAAGAGATAAAAACACAAACTGTGTATGTTTGATCCATGTTCTCTATATGATCTGTAGCATTTATTCACCGCAGTACAATCAGCATTCGTATTGTCTGCTGTTTTTGCAGTAAGTCGATCGTGCGCTGCGGTACGGGGTGCACGTGTTTCCTTTCTCCGTGGATCTTCATGGCGACTTTTTGCGTTTCTTAAGATTTCAAATGGGTAATAAAATTCGAATCGTTTGGCACGCGACTGATTGACTTATCGTGCGTCGAACCCTAGATTAAGAGACATTACCACGTGCGGGCCGGTACTCGTATATCATTGATTCGGCGGGGCTACCGATATCAATTAAATATATTAGTAAAAATTGTTCAATTGTTAATTCGTGTAAATAAACCAACGGAAAGTAACCCAAAGCTTTAATTAATTTAATTATTAGTTTCTGTTTTCTTCAAGAAAATATGGAAAATTAATAGTGATAAACTGAAAAATATTAATTTCATAGTATTAGGCACTGTAATTATTAACGAAATCGAATCAAATGGAAATAAATTGTAATTACATATTTTGTGTCTTTAGCTGAACTGTTCCTATTGTTAAGACTAAAACTATCTTACACTATTTACAGTATTCATGAAAGTATTTTCGGGACAACTGTAATAAACGAAATGTGTTAGAAATACCTTAGTTTTAAATTTGTAAATATGCATAATAGGTACATTAACGTGCATCTTAATTTTATTTTCGCATGTTTGCATTGTATGTAATGTTATTATATTCTTCAAATGCATACTATACGAGTAACATGAAATAGAGTAAACTTTATTTTATATTTATATATTCTAATAATTTACTTACTATGTTCCACAAAATTGAGGCAATAATGTTAATGTTTATATGTATATAAATTAATATCAATAGATATGAATAAACTTAACACCATAATTACATATTATTACGGCTGGGCAAATTATTGATCAACTTGAAATATTGATATGATAATTGTGGGTTTGAATTCCAAAGCCGAAAATTATCAACACTATACTGAATCTCACCAGGACTTGAAATGCAATTATACTTATTTCGAAAAAGTTTAAATTTAATTGCTTTTCTTTAGTGGGTAGAGAATCCATATTGTTGAGTTACTTAACTATCAGTTCTCCATCCCGTTTAGTCGGTCGATCGCTGCGGTCCGGTGAGCACGTGTTCAACTCGTTACCCGATTTTTGTAGCAACTTTACGCGTTCCTTGAGATTAAATGATGGTGTTATTATTAGCATCGGTCTGCCATCGATTGTATTTAATAATAATTAGCGAGTATAGCGTCAGTGCATGATTTATCACGAGTGGTCCCACTTAGAATTGAGTGATTTTATGATATGCGCGGGTGAGTGCCGTCAACGACGGCCTTCAGAAATCTTTCTTCAAATTGTAAGTATTGTAATTTTGAATCATCCCTATGATATAGTTTTGCAATTTTCTCACGGGAAAGCCATAAAAATAGCATTTTTGTGTTTTGAGACACTGATTTTTCTTGTTTTAGGGCTATAGAAATAGAACGGGAACTCGCAGGAAGGCCATTTTTTCTTCAAATTGTAAGTATTGTAATTTTAAATCATCCCTATTACATAATTTTGCAATTTTCTCACAGGAAAGCCATAAAAATTGCATTTTTGTGTTTTGAGACACTGATTTTTCTTGTTTTAGGGCTATAGAAATTGAACGGGAACTCGCAGGAGGGCCATTTATTCTTCAAATTGTAAGTATTGTATTTTTGAATCATCCCTATGACATAGTTTTGCAATTTTCTCACGGGAAAGCCATAAAAATTGCATTTTTGTGTTTTGAGACACTGATTTTTCTTGTTTTAGGGCTATAGAAATAGAACGGGAACTCGCAGGAGGGCCATTTTTTCTTCAAATTGTAAGTATTGTAATTCTGAATCATCCCTATGACATAGTTTTGCAATTTTCTCACGGGAAAGCCTTAAAAATTGTATTTTTGTGTTTTGAGACACTAATTTTTCTTGTTTTAGGGCTATAGAAAATGAACGGGAACACGCAGGAGGGCCATTTTTTCTTCAAATTGTAAGTATTTTAATTCTGAATCATCCCTAGGACATAGTTTTGCAATTTTCTCACGGGAAAGCCGTAAAAATTGCATTTTTGTGTTTTGAGACACTGATTTTTCTTGTTTTAGGGCTATAGAAATTGAACGGGAACTCGCAGGAGGGCCATTTATTCTTCAAATTGTAAGTATTGTAATTCTGAATCATCCCTATGACATAGTTTTGCAATTTTCTCACGGGAAACCCATAAAAATTGCATTTTTGTGTTTTGAGATACTGATTTTTCTTGTTTTAGGGCTATAGAAATAGAACGGGAACTCGCAGGAAGGCCATTTTTTCTTCAAATTGTAAGTATTGTAATTTTAAATCATCCCTATTACATAATTTTGCAATTTTCTCACAGGAAAGCCATAAAAATTGCATTTTTGTGTTTTGAGACACTGATTTTTCTTGTTTTAGGGCTATAGAAATTGAACGGGAACTCGCAGGAGGGCCATTTATTCTTCAAATTGTAAGTATTGTAATTTTGAATCATCCCTATGACATAGTTTTGCAATTTTCTCACGGGAAAGCCATAAAAATTGCATTTTTGTGTTTTGAGACACTGATTTTTCTTGTTTTAGGGCTATAGAAATAGAACGGGAACTCGCAGGAGGGCCATTTTTTCTTCAAATTGTAAGTATTGTAATTCTGAATCATCCCTATGACATAGTTTTGCAATTTTCTCACGGGAAAGCCTTAAAAATTGTATTTTTGTGTTTTGAGACACTAATTTTTCTTGTTTTAGGGCTATAGAAAATGAACGGGAACACGCAGGAGGGCCATTTTTTCTTCAAATTGTAAGTATTTTAATTCTGAATCATCCCTAGGACATAGTTTTGCAATTTTCTCACGGGAAAGCCGTAAAAATTGCATTTTTGTGTTTTGAGACACTGATTTTTCTTGTTTTAGGGCTATAGAAATTGAACGGGAACTCGCAGGAGGGCCATTTATTCTTCAAATTGTAAGTATTGTAAGTCTGAATCATCCCTATGACATAGTTTTGCAATTTTCTCACGGGAAACCCATAAAAATTGCATTTTTGTGTTTTGAGATACTGATTTTTCTTGTTTTAGGGCTATAGAAATTTAACGGAAACTTGCAGGAGGGCCATTTTTGCATCAAATTATAAGTATTGTAATTCTGTATCATCTCTATGACTTAGTTTTGCAATTTTCTTACGGGAAAGCCTTACAAATTGAATTTTGTGTTTCGAGACGCTGATTTTTCTTGTTTTAGAGCTCTAGAAATTGAACAGGATATCGCTTGTATACTTGTATAACAGGATATGCTTGTAGTAATGGGTTCAGTTCTGTTATTATACCACGTTTTTTTATGTTTCAGGGGGAGAATTATTTAAACGAACCATAAATAAGGTAAATCATATTTGAAGAAAAATATTTAATGAAATGTTTTGTTATGTTTTATTATCTTATGTGACGCCACGGGCCAGCAACCTCGGCACAGAGCGATATGACGCGGTGGGTCAGAATGATTGTTACTATTCTAGTTTTGCTTAGTTTACCTTGCGCTCTCGTGTACACGCGTTTTATTTTTACGAATGTTTACTTGTATGTATTTTTAAAAATTATTAATAAAACACTTATTATATTTATAATCTTATTCACATTTCTATTTGGTACCCTCTTTGCCGTTTTCAGTATTAAATAGTATGGCATATAACTTAAGTGCGTGGCGCAGGAATAACATAACTGTTGCTTGAATTGTGTTGTTGTTTTTAAAAACATGATAAAAGTAGAAACATAAATAGAAGAATCAAATAATAATGATAAAAACACTCGGTGGTCGAGTGGAGACGTGCACCTGCTGGCATGCTAGCAGGCACGGATCGAATCTCAGGTATAGAAGGCATTTTTCTCAAATATAAAAATATCAGGTGAAATTTGGGTTGCATATATGAATTGCAACGAAATATAAGAGAAATTGAAATACAAGTGCAATAAGAGAAGTAAGAAAGTAAATGGAGAAACGAGAACAAGAAAAAGGAGAATAAGAAGTAGAAGAGAAGAGAGGAGAGAAGAAAGGAAGAGAACAGAGGAGTAGAGAAGAGGAGGAGATAGAAGAAAGAGAACAGGGGAGGATCAGATTTTTAAATTTTTTGGCACGTGTCGTTATGAGACAGTCTACGGTCGATCTCCCAGAGCGCCGGAGGCCCACTGCTTCAATCCGTCCATTGCTCCCGGCCCATCCTACAGCTACGATGTCTCTGCGCTTCATCCCCGAAATTATCAGGCATATCAACAATTTTTATGGTGGGGGATCATCCCCCGAGTGGGAGAACTCCTTATAAGGACATCCTTTCAAGAACTTATAAAAATATTTCTAAGTTTTAAGTCGCCTCAAGAGAGGTGACACTTAAAAATATTCTTACAAGTTCTGACCTGTAGCTGAAATGAAAGAAGCAGCACACAAATCACACAGGATACCTTAACAATTTTTATAGTGGGTATCATCCCCTGAGAGAGGGAACTTTCTTAGAGACCTGTTCCTGAAATGATAGAAGAGGTACACAAATCAAAGAAGTCAATATTTCTTACTATTTATTTATTAGCAATAGAATACAAGTTTATATTTTACAAGTCAACAGAATACGTGCTGCCATATTGAAGCAGGACTTTCGACCTGCTAAGCCGCGCACATATAAGCAAGTAGCACTTCGTACAGGTCTACCGGAATAAGGAAATTAGCAAATAGTTCATTTTCTACGTTATTGAAAATGAAAACAAATATACAAGGTGTTACAAATGAAAAATTTAACGTGAAAACACAAAAACATTTTAACACTACAAATATCATTAGTTTTTCACCTGAGGCTCCGGGAAACTAATATACAGGGTGTAACAAAAAGAAAACAAAATCATTTTAGAATATAAGTCAACGACAAACTTTGAAACACCACAAATATGGCTATTTTTTCACGTAACATCACTGGAAAATTATTATACAGGGTGTTGCCAAAAGAAAATCAACAATGTAAAAAGAAAATGGCTTCAAAACAATAAAGATTGGCAAATTTTTGCTGAGCAAGAAAATTTTATATACAGGGTGTTGTCAAAAGAAAATCTTCTATTTATGAAGAAAATAACCCCAAAACAAAAAAGATTACTCATTTTTCGCCGAGATCAAAGGAAAATTTATATACAGGGTGATACAAAAAAGAAAAAATATATAACATAATAAACAATACAATTATTAATAATTATAATTACTACTTTTAAAGAAATACTAAATCGTGATTTCTTAAATCCAGAAACTTGCAAACAAGCCGATTTCAAACAGAAACAAGATACAAAAGCAATAAACAGACACGATAATCGGAACCTAACGGAAGCGAATAGACAGCCGACGGAACGCGACAATATTGCACTATGTACTTGCATTACATCGTGGATTAAATCCGACCATTTTCCGAGCTCCTACTAATTTGACTGAACGTTTATCCTTATCGGGTGATGAATCCACATTTGACTGTTTAATTAGTCGAATAATAGCAGAATATAATATTTATGTTACACACCTTCTTACGTTTTCGTATGTGAAATGCTCCACAAGAGGCACAAATGGTGGTGGTATTTCAAATTATTAATTAAATGAATACACAAAACAAAACCACTAGGAATTCTTAGCCGACGGGAGATATCCGCCGGCCGACGGCAAACACGTGCGTATCTTGTAAAACCACGCAATTCTGGGTTCCACGCGCCATGTCTCTGAACTATACACAGCACTCGTCGGTTACTTCTAAATCTTATCTTTGCTGACCATTTTAATTCAACTACTGACTTAAAATCACAAAAAACGCGATTAGTCGCCACGAAGACCGCCGATCAAGTAAACGCGTCTTTACCACGCGGCACCGCGCGATTGACTAAGTAAGAAATAGAACAAACACGAAAAATGTCTGCTCTTAGCACTTAGCAAAGGGTACCGTACGAAAGTAGCGGTTAAAGTTAGCGAGTACAAGTGCGTATACACACAACTATCAATATAACTCGCGTTACGGAATTTTCTCGTAATAAATTTCGATACAAGAAGATGCAGAATTAAATTCCGCATCTAAGAAAATTATTCCGAACTTATAGTAAAACCGCGTTCGCGTGTTATAACAAAAAAACTACAATTCCTAGCGCAACGAGTACAAGTGCGGATACACACAACTATCAATATAACTCGCGTTACGAAACTTTGTAGCAATAAATTTTGATACAAGGTGATACAAAATTAAATTCCGCATCTAAGAAAATTATTCCGAACTTATAGTAAAACCGCGTTCGCGTATAATAACAAAAAAACTAGAATTCCTAGCGCAACGAGTACAAATGCGTATACACACAACTATCAATATAACTCGCGTTACGGAATTTTCTCGTAATAAATTTCGATACAAGAAGATGCAGAATTAAATTCCGCATCTAAGAAAATTATTCCGAACTTATAGTAAAACCGCGTTCGCGTGTTATAACAAAAAAACTACAATTCCTAGCGCAACGAGTACAAGTGCGGATACACACAACTATCAATATAACTCGCGTTACGAAACTTTGTAGCAATAAATTTTGATACAAGGTGATACAAAATTAAATTCCGCATCTAAGAAAATTATTCCGAACTTATAGTAAAACCGCGTTCGCGTATAATAACAAAAAAACTAGAATTCCTAGCGCAACGAGTACAAATGCGTATACACACAACTATCAATATAACTCGCGTTACGGAATTTTCTCGTAATAAATTTCGATACAAGAAGATGCAGAATTAAATTCCGCATCTAAGAAAATTATTCCGAACTTATAGTAAAACCGCGTTCGCGTATAATAACAAAAAAACTAGAATTCCTAGCGCAACGAGTACAAATGCGTATACACACAACTATCGATATAACTCGCGTTACGGAATCTTCTAGCAATAAATTTTGATACATGGTGATACAAAATTAAATTCCGCATCTAAGAAAATTATTCAGAACTTAGAGTAAGACCGCGTTCGCGTGTTATATTAAAAAAACTACAATTCCTAGCGCAACAAGTACAAGTTCGTATACACACAACTATCAATATAACTCGCGTTACGGAATTTTCTCGTAATAAATTTCGATACAAGAAGATGCAGAATTAAATTCCGCATCTAAGAAAATTATTCCGAACTTATAGTAAAACCGCGTTCGCGTGTTATAACAAAAAAACTAGAATTCCTAGCGCAACGAGTACAAATGCGTATACACACAACTATCAATATAACTCGCGTTACGGAATTTTCTAGCAATAAATTTTGATACAAGAAGATGCAGAATTAAATTCCGCATCTAAGAAAATTATACCGAACTTATAGTAAAACCGCATTCGCGTGTTATAACAAAAAAACTACAATTCCTAGCGCAACGAGTACAAGTGCGGATACACATAACTATCAATCTAACTCGCGTTACGGAATTTTCTAGCAATAAATTTTGATACAAGGTGATACAAAATTAAATTCCGCATCTAAGAAAATTATACAGAACTTACAGGAGACCGCGTTCGCGTGTTATATTAAAAAAAACTACAATTCCTAGCGCAACGAGTACAAGTTCGTATACACACAACTATCAATATAACTCGCGTTACGAAACTTTGTAGCAATAAATTTTGATACAAGGTGATACAAAATTAAATTCCGCATCTAAGAAAATTATTCAGAACTTACAGTAAAACCGCGTTCGCGTGTTATATTAAAAAAAAACTACAATTCCTAGCGCAACGAGTACAAGTTCGTATACACACAACTATAAATATAACTCGCGTTACGGAATTTTCTAGCAATAAATTTTGATACAAGGTGATACAAAATTAAATTCCGCATCTAAGAAAATTATTCAGAACTTACAGTAAGACCGCGTTCGCGTGTTATATTAAAAAAACTACAATTCCTAGCGCAACGAGTACAAGTTCGTATGCACACAACTATCAATATAACACGCGTTACGAAATTTTCTCGCAATAAATTTCGATACAATGAGATACAGAATTAAATTCCGCATTTAAGAAAATTATTCTGAACTTATAGTAAAATCGCGTTCGCGTGTTATATTAAAAAAACTACAATTCCTAGCGCAACGAGTACAAGTTCGTATGCACACAACTATCAATATAACACGCGTTACGAAATTTTCTCGCAATAAATTTCGATACAAGGAGATACAGAATTAAATTCCGCATCTAAGAAAATTATTCTGAACTTATAGTAAAATCGCGTTCGCGTGTTATATTAAAAAAACTACAATTCCTAGCGCAACGAGTACAAGTGCGTATACACACAACTATCAATATAACTCGCGTTACGGAATTTTTTAGCAATAAATTTTGATACATGGTGATACAAAATTAAATTCCGCATCTAAGAAAATTATTCAGAACTTACAGTAAGACCGCGTTCGCGTGTTATATTAAAAAAACTACAATTCCTAGCGCAACGAGTACAAGTTCGTATACACACAACTATCAATATAACTCGCGTTACGGAATTTTCTAGCAATAAATTTTGATACAAGGTGATACAAAATTAAATTCCGCATCTAAGAAAATTATTCAGAACTTACAGTAAGACCGCGTTCGCGTGTTATATTAAAAAAACTACAATTCCTAGCGCAACGAGTACAAGTTCGTATGCACACAACTATCTATATAACACGCGTTACGGAATTTTCTCGCAATAAATTTCGATACAAGGAGATACAGAATTAAATTCCGCATCTAAGAAAATTATTCCGAACTTATAGTAAAATCGCGTTCGCGAGTTATAATAAGAAAACTACAATTCCTAGCGCAACGAGTACAAGTGCGTATACACACAACTAAGGGTAGAAGTGACTCCCATTCAGGGCACCGTACAAAGGTAGCGGTAGAAGTGACTCCCATTCAGAGCACCGTACGAAGGTAGCGGTAGAAGTGACTCCCAGTCAAGGCACCGTACGAAGTTAGCGGTAGAAGTGACTTTTATTCAGGGCACCGTACGGGGGTAGCAGTAGAAGTGACTCTCATTCAGGGCACAGTACGAAGGAGGTTTTCTCATTGTATTGCAATAGGTTCTATATATATTCTAAATATATTCTAAACTAAACGAGATAGAGAGGATCGAATGGCATATCCTTACAAAAAATTCTCTATAAGATAGGCTAATTAAATTAGAGATTTAGTCAATTTTAAACAATAGTTCATAAGAAAAAATCATGCAAAGAGATGGGTCTTCTCATTGTATCGAAACATGTTCGTTCGCGATATTTTCTAAACTAAAAGAGATAGAGAAGATCGAATGGCATATCCTTAACCTACGAAAAATTCTCTATAAGATAGGCTAGTTAAATTAAAGATTTACGCAATTTTAAAAAATAGGTTATGAGAAAAAATCATGCAATGAGGGGGGTCTTCTCATTGTATCGAAACATGTTCGATGGCGATATTTTCTAAACTAAAAGAGATAGAGAGGATTGGACATATTTTCGAATTTACTGTGACACCGCATTCGCGTGTTATAACAAAAAAAAACTACAATTTCTAGCGCAACGAGTACTACTGCGCACACACACAACTGTCAATATAACTCGAGTTTACTGAATTTTATGGCAATAAATTTTAATACAAGCTGATACAGAAATAAATTCTCAATCAGGGAGCATAATTTCGAACTTACTGTGTCACCGCGTTCGCGTGTTATAACAAAAAAAACTACAATTTCTAGCGCAACGAGTACCACGGCGCACATATTTTATGAAGAATTTTCCGAATTTTAGAATCTTCAATCCGAAATAATTGGAATTGAAAAATCGAGAAAAAAAAAGGGATAGGAATGGTTAGGGCGGAGTTCCGCTGTATTGCATCTTCAAGTACAACTCTTGCGTATTTGTAAGCGAAGGAAAAACCAAACCGTTAATTTTGAGATCAGCAGGTACGCGACTACCTTATGTATTTGCAACACGGGGTGGAACGCGATAAATGAAAACAACGTAAATACAAAAAAAAAAAAACTCATAAAGGACGCAGAAATTAAAACGAAAAATATAATTGAATTATAAACTTACCAATGCAAAACTCATAGACTCCAAAGCACGGCAAATACTGTAAATAAAAAGAGAAAACATAAGTTAAAACATATATATTACATACAGTTTAGTAATATTATAATCCCACAGCGAAGAAAAATAAACAAGCTGTGCTGTTTAGTTAAAAGTTACTTACACCATCACGATGGGTCATTCTCATGATGAATATAAAATCCACATGGGGGCGACACTTAACCGGCATTTATGGACTATATACGCGCAAACAGTAAATAACATTACTATAGTCGATTGATGATCGAATATAATGCGAATTTGGAAAGCAGATGTCCGGACAAACAATACGAGTCGCGTAAGATACGTCTGGACCAACCAGAGACCGGCACGAAACTGGCTGCAAACTGTGCAAGCAACAACGCGACAGTTTATAACAAGAAAGCAATAGATGCGCAAAACCGGCGGCGCGTCGATGGCACGCGACCTTGTGCGCGAATTGCAATAGACACGTTTTTATTGCAATAAGAACTAAACTAAAATGTGCTGCATGCGATAGCGCGACGAGAATCTTACGCGTAGCATCTCGCATGGCGAATGCGATAAGAAAGTTGTTTATACACAAACGCTGATAATAAATTTGCCTTCAAAACGAATACAATTCTATTTTATGATGTTTAGTTCATGCTAGTGCCATCTCTGACTGAAATTTACGATGCGACAGTTCACAGTAAGACTCTGCGCCTGCCGCATGAACCCTTCAGATAAAAGCAATAGATGCGCAAAGCCGGCAAGCGACCTTGTGTGTGAATTGTAATAGATGCGCAAAGCAGGCGGCGCGACGTTGGCACACGACCTTACTATCAACTATCAACGGTGTGAATCATCCAATCCTTCATAATTCGGCCGTGTCGTATCTAAATCAGAAGATGGCTTCACATCGGAATATGTATTGCTATCACCCATATTACTAAATGGAGCAAGAGCCATTCCTGGGTCGACTCTCCTAGAACAGACCCCAACACTTAGAAATATTTTTTACAAGTTCTGATCTGTGCCTGAAATGATAGAAGGATGCACACAAACTATAAGTCACCATGTTGTCAATATACGAGGGCAGTCCGACAAGTACCTAGCCTTGGCGCCCGATGAAGCCAAATCCAAAAAAGAAATGTACTATCGTGTAGTACGTCTATATAGAGGGCCACAGTTAAAATTTAAACCAAATCAAACGTTTAGTTTTGGTTTGATCGCGTTTGAGAGTTGACGTGTCCGCGTATTTAGGCAAAATGGAAAAAGCAATATCGATCGGTGATTTGATTTCTGTTTTTGGAAGGGAAATTGCGCAGTGAAATCAAAAACCGACTGGATGCTGTATACGGTGAATCTTCTCCTTCGATTGCAACCATAAAAAATTGGTATAATGAATTTCAACGTGGTCGCACGTCGGTTTTTGATGAGCCACGCCCAGGTGCTCCAAAAACAGCTACCACCGAGAAAAACGTGAAAAAGTCCATGATCTTGTATTAGCAGACCGTCGACTAAAGGTGCGCGAGATAGCTGAGATAATAGGCATCTCAAAAAACCGCGTGGGTCATATCCTGCATCAAATATTGGGCATGAAAAAGCTGTCGGCGCGATGGGTGCCGCGTTTGCTCACTCCGGACCACAAGCGCAACCGTGAGACCACTTCCGAGCAGTGTTTGGCGCTGTTTTCGCGCAATCCCGAGGAGTTTCTGCGTCGTTTTGTAACTGTTGACGAAACATGGATCCACTGGTATACACCCGAGACCAAAGAACAGTCAAAACAATGGACTTCACCCGGAGAACGTGCTCCGAAACAGGCGAAGACTGTCCCATCGGCCGGAAAGGTGATGGCTACTGTTTTCTGGGATTCAAAAGAGGTAATCTACATTGACTACCTAGAAAAGGGCAAAACAATTACAGGACTATACTATGCCCAATTATTGGACCGATTCGACATGGAATTAAGGAAAAATCGGCCTCATTTGGCCAGAAAAAAAGTGCTCTTCCACCATGACAACGCACCGGCCCACAGCTCCAACATCGCCACTGCCAAATTGATCAAATTAGGCTATGAATTGCTGCCACATCCACCCTATTCGCCAGATTTGGCCCCGTGTGACTTCTTTTTATTCCCAAACTTGAAAAAATCACTCGTCGGGCAAAAATTTGTGTCAAATGAGTCGCTCATTGCCGCCACGGAAGCATATTTTGCAAACCTCCCGAAAACATTTTTTTCCGACGGGTTAAAAAAGTTGGAACATCGCTAGGTCAAGTGTATCGAGCTAGAAGGAGACTATGTTGAGAAATAAAATGATAGGTTTCCAAAATTTTTGGTTTTTCTTTAAAAGGCTAAATACTTATCGGACTACCCTCGTACTATACAAAATGTACTAAAATACACAATTAAGATATTATTTCCTATGATGTAGGTTTTATTTAAAATGTTTATTTATAATACTAGTTACAATAAGTAATATTCTTTCACATTTCATGGAATTTTTTGGACACTTACATACACAATTCGACACAATGCAAGTAGTTTGATGCATTGCTTACAAATCAATTTCGCAGCAACAAACCGATCAGCATCAATTTGTTCGCGCGAGAGATAAACGAAAATGGAAATGCGTTCAAGTTTCTCATATAATACACACGCTTAAATAAAAGAAATATACACAATAATTAAAAAAAAAACAATGTGAAAACATCTCAAGACGCTCAAGTAGATTTCATGAATGTTCGAACAAAACTACAACTGTTGGTAAGTAAATAACATATCACTACTAATAAAATTTAGTGAAAACCTGTATGATACAAAATTATTTAATCGAACTAACGGTTTTTAACGTGGGCGCTGTTTGTGTTCCCTTTACTGCATTACATTTTAATATGAAGTCGTGTACAAATGTACAAAATTCGATTAGAAGTCTGCTTCATGCAACTCTTAAGTTCACTTAAGACTAGTCGGCTTTTCAAGCCTCCTCTTTCGTACAATATGTAACGACACAGCACAGTGCGTAACAAAATTTGATTTTCCACAAAAATGTGTTGACATGCACAAAGCAACGCAAACTTTGTTACGCACTGTGCGTTTTAATACAGTTAACAATTCATTTTAACTAGTTTTCCCATTTATTTTCGTAATATTAATTTATTAGTTTCAAAAGTTTTTCGTGTATAAGAAACTTGGTTTCGAAAAACACCGCACGTCTAATATTCCTTTTACTTTCTATGTTTTCTTTTTATATAAAATCTCATCTCGTAATTAATTATTCTTAGATCAGGGCATATCATATTATTATAGGTCAACCTCGTCATCAACCGTAAACGAACTTAAACGCTTCAAGATAATATTTTAACAATTGCTGATTCAATTTTTACTTTAAAAATTACAATAGTTATTGCGCTTCTCAACAATTTCTTTTAGTAACATCTGGGTACCTCACAGTATTTGGCAAACGTGTTTCGATCCTAGCTATAATTCACATACAGCTATCACCATCCTTCAGTACTGTGATACACAAGAGTTCATTTCAAACAAAGCATTACAACATCCAGAGCCATCAATGCATTAAAACACGTTTGACCAATTAAATTACAAATATTGCCAGATGGAAAGCCTTTGAGTATTATCAATTTAAGGAAGAGCAACGTTTGGTGTTTTGCGATTGATGTGATTTAATGCATCAAGCAATTCCTTTATACTTTATCGAAATTGCAATAGTATTTACTGGCATTAGTATTTTCTGTTGTTTCTCTATACTTTACACTCGTTTACGTTTGGTATATTCTTTACTATAAAAATAACCCATTAGTCCCATTTCTATCTATGTCTTTTCGTTCCGCATTGGTTTCGGTTTTAGTTTTTTATAAAATTTCAACTTTTCTTATAAAATTATAAAAATTTCGAATATTTTGGCCTAAAAAGTGTGCACATTACAGATTTTATTTTGCATTTCCCTTTATATTTTGTCATATTTAGTCAAATAATTTCTTCAAACTTTATTCATTTAACTAATTAATTGATCATTCCCGCACAGAATCAGAGTCCTTTGATTAGTAAGTGTTCAAATAAAACACTGATTGTAACTATGTAAAACGTGTCTTTTATAATGACCGAGCATTGACAACAAAACGTTTCATAATTTTCGTGGATGGCATCAGAGTAAAATGTATTTCCTCTAAAGCGTGGCAACGTACATAATATATTGACTTAATGGCTGACAAGAGATCTAATATTGTTCATTCAGCTTTGCTTGACTTGACAGCAAAACATAATTACGGTATACAAATAATTAACGAAACAATTAAATAATACATCTCGAAATATTTGATTTGTATGCACTATGTACAATAAACAAGACGTTGCCCAAAAAAGAAATCGCACTGATACGCATCCTCGTTGGTACACGTTTTTAAAATGATAAATAAACAAAAAAGTGATAAAATAAATAATTATGATCTATTTTCTTATGCTCTAGCACGCTCTCCTGTTCCTTCATGACCATAGTTCCAGAGTACCACTTAAAGTACTCAATTTGTTGCCAACTTTACGAGCTTAAAATTACGCATATTATACAAATATAATAATACTTCCTCTCATATATAAATCAATCAATTTCTAAATCATATAATAATCAACCAAGCATATAATAAATGATAGGTAAAATTGGAAATGGTAATAAACCTTCTCTCTCAATAAAATGTTAGAAATCGCCTTGGATTCACATATGAGTGACAACAAAGCGTCTCCGATCGTCGACGTCAACGAACAATTTAGACTTCTGGTATTTGTGGTGTATTTATGCATTGGCCTACGAATATTAATTAGATAGAAATTTGACTTAACTTTAATTAACTAATAGATGGATAATTGTTGATTAATTAACTTGAGATCCTCGCGTCTTAACGCAAATATCAAACATTTGTTTTATAATTACATCAATAGTATGTATATATTAATAATAAATATTCATATCGCGTTTCACTTATCATCGTACTCAATCTTATGTAGTCTTCGCGTTGTGCCGTAAATTTCTATCAAGAAATAGGCGTATTAGCTCTGTTTTAATTCGTTCCTATTCTCATATTTCAGTTTTGTTTACGCTTAATTAATTATTATGTGCACAAGGCCCAAATTGCAAATCGGCTGTTCTATGTTCGCTGGACGCAAAACGCACGATTACTACTTGTAGCAAATTCGCTTTTGGTGTTGTAGTATTATTAACATTACTTGCTAAATTTATCATGCGAGGAAATTCAGTCATCAAATGATACATTTAGCTAAGCTACAAGTGAAAATCGTTTGCCGAATTGATTTCAATGTGATTTAACACTATTAAGGTGGATCAAGGCACCGAACAGTTTCAGGCTCTTATGACTGGTATCTTTTACATAATTATTCATCTTATCATATCAATCTTGCAAAATTTCTGTACGTTTTCACTTCAAAAATGCCGACCAAACATCATCTTTTTGATTACGTCCTTGTGACACTAGAGATTCACTCTTTATATATGTTCTTTTGAAGCAGTTTATATTTTAATTACTTTGTATTTCTTTGTGTATTGAGTTTTGGTATCTCTGTATATTTATAGATATTTGCTCGCTTTCTTTGTATAATAATTTCTCTTGTATAATTCTACGATTGCAGTTATTTGATTACTGGACTAGGCTTACAGTCTATCAATTGTAGGCGTTACATTGCTAATTCGTTTCGGCATTCACGTTCTCATTTCAAATGCAATTTCATATTTGCCCATTAACAAATGCGTCTTTCAATTTTAATAGTCAATGTTCTCCTAGTTGTTACGATCATTATATTGCTGCTTCGGATCAGTTCATTTGAATATAAATTACTAATGTTACCCCATCATATAGGAAACATCCGCTCCGGTTTATGTGTAATATTTCGTCTCGTCAATTTTTTATATTTTTCAATTTTTCATTTTCTTAATAACATTTTTTAGTAACATGCTTAATTAATCTCTCGATTATTTTTGTCCATTTTCATCATTTTTCTTCAATAATTAAATCATTAATTATAAGAGGAACACATTTTGTTTGTTTTGTTTGCATCTTATACAAAGAGTTGGCAGTTCACAGTTAACATTTGTAACATACCTAATTACTTAAGTGCAGATTAGTTGATTTCTCTCATTAAGTTGTATAATGTTAAGAAGACACAATGATTGTGATATGATCGACGAGTCACTTAATTATTTGTTTGTAATGTGATCACCACGCTCAGCCAATGCGCCGCTGTAAATCATCAGGAATGACATTAAATTAAAGAGAAAATAAATAAACTTTTCAATGACTTCGCGGCGCTTGCAGTTCTTGAATTATTTCGTGGTGACACGCTTTCAATGAATAGAAACAAAATTTACAGTTGTCTTGGACCCAATCGTAGATTGCGTTAATGCTTTCGTTAGTATGAAAATAAATATTCAAGAATTTCTATTGTTTTGATGTGCACAACCGTGCAATGAACATAATTTTCTTTTAATTATTGTAGCATCATTGGGTGTAAATATTAATATACCTCCACAATTACTTAAGTCTTGGAATTTCTGTCACAGACAGACGGTGTGAAGCGTATAAAATTTGCAAGTCGCTTTTCGCCGGTGCAAAGTGATGCAAGCCACGCCGTGCAATTTTAAAATATCGCATATTTGTACTGTCGGCAAGAGAAGACCACGACTCGGCGTGTTTCCCACGCGCCAGAACTCATTTTCGCTCCGTTAATCGCTCAACAAAAAATTTACAATCACAAGCATCTACCTTCATTCATGTTAAGTATAATCATATTTGTTACAATTCATCATTCTACGTAAGAAACACGCCCCGTCGTGGTTAAACTTAACGTATTCCATTAGAATTAAATATGTATCGTTTTCTTTCTCTTCATATCGTTAATGAATAGTTCTGATAGGTAATATATGTAAATATAGAATAATCAATAAATTAAAACAATCTAGAGAGAGCTTGCATTAATTGGCATTTGGGGCTTGTCCGGCTAACGCTATACTAACTTGCTTCTGCTGTTTGAGCGTGGCGTTAGCATTCGAGGTGGCGGTGCCTGATGAGAAATTGGACGCGTTTTCGCCATTGCCCTGATTGGACGACTCGTCGTAGCCGCTGTCCGAACTGCTGTCAGAGAACGATTTCGCAGCGGAGATTTCAGTTTCCTGCTTCGGCAGAACGCCATTCATTTTGCAGCTCAAACGTGCGCCGCAAGGCTTCAAAAATCGTGAATCGACCAGAAACTCGCCATTTGGACTCTCAAAAATCGTACCACAACAAATTTTCACCCTAAATCAGATAGAAATAGAATTTATAAATAAAATGATTTGATTTTAATAGACGATTAAAATGATTAAAATAAACTTACTTCTTCCAGATATCCATATCAATGAACTCGCTGACCATCGGCAGTAAACTATCAACACGTCGCTTTGCTTGCGATTTATGCCGACGCGATTGCTTGTTCACCTGAACGGTTTCTTCACAATCACTGCCACCGGGACTGTTGGTGCGGCTAGACCCTCCACTTGTGGCCATCTCAAGATAATCCATGGCGATGTCCATATCGGCGTCCGGCGTTCCGTCACTCTTGTCACTCAGAGGACTGTACTCCCTCTCAAAATGATTCTTCTTTCGGCCGACGCCAGTTCCGGTAGTTTTGATAACACCGTCAGCGGCGGCATCCTCCAGCAGCTGCTTCTTGTGCTTACTCTTGAACTTGGTCATCGACTTCATTCCTGGCCCGGCACGTGCGTCCACCACCTGATTTTGATACCAAAGATTCATTTTAAACAATGGCATCGTTACAATACACGTAGAGCAATATTTTTCGATTCAAAATTGAGAACTTTAAGATGTCTTGCAAGTTGTCTAAGCGTCTGACTAATAACATTCAATTGTTATATTTTCCATGGCGTGCTGCAATTATTCGCTGTTTGACCACATATTTAAAAGAATTACTTACATGTTGCCAGTTACGTGTTGAGCCCGGTGGTAATTTCTTCCACCTCTTCACCAATAAAACACAAGCATTGCAGATTTCGCCTTGCCGTGGCGTTGTTAGGTGAAAACATTTGATAAAGTCGCTCTCATACTTCTTGCTATCAGTGAATCTAGAACTAAATAAACAATTACAAACATTAGTATGCTGCCGTAAATAAACACAACGGGTAATAAAAATAATATATAATAAGCGTGGTGTACTCACCTACTAGATTTCGCCTTGCAAATACAACAACCCGTCGTCGATCTGTACACTTTTGGCTTGTGGAACGAAAACATTTTGTGTGATTTTAAGGGATGACTACAGCTCACTAACTAAGCAAATCTGTAAGAAAGAAATTCAACTATAGATAGAATCGCATACATCTGTCACACCCTGACGGGGATAAAAGAAACTGTCAGGTCAATTCTTGTTAAACGCATGTAGGTATCTAGCCAACGCCAGGTTACAATAAAAAGGGGCAGGTGTAGAGTGGTAAGTTTGCTCCGTCTAGGCTAGACGAGCGCGCTCCCAGACGGTCAGGTTCGAGGGTGGAAAACAAGTTCACCTTTTGCTAAGCGGTGTATTAATATAACCAGTATTTCATAGTGTGTACATTTAATCCTCATAAAATTGAAAAGCAACCGTTTCTTATGACCTTGTTTGTGACGTTACCACCAAAATATTGACAAAGTACCGTAGCGATTAGAGCTAACTCAAGTAAGGCAAGAAATGTGTGTCTACTGAATGATATCACTTAGTGCGCGATAATGCACAGATAATTGGAATCGGTTTGTTTGGAGACATTTTAATGAACCAAACGTTCACTGAGCTTATCAACAGTCAATATTTGCGTTATGTATTATTATGCGTGGCATTGAAATTAATCATAATAAGTATAAAAATGGTTGCGAATGAAACATTTAGTACCATTTAAAATAAAATTTTAAATATCTACGGCGTAGTTTTGACGGTTGAGAATACCCGTTCTAATTCAAATTCGCAAAGTGGTTCTACACCTTTTGGTCATTTTTGCACAAAACCCGATTACGAGGCGCGTTGCGCCACTTTCGTTCCTTGCTGCAGCCGCAATACGACGGCAACAACAACAACAAACAAGTCGCGCGTTCTAAAAATAGCACCGGTCCCGTACGCAGCTCGCATTCATTGGCCTGCGATTTGCAGCCGATTCAAAAGGCTTACTACTTGCATCGCGCGAGACACAACATACGCACCCGTGCTTCTCATGCTTCTCAAGCGTCTGGCAGCCTTCTCTTCTCACCTGTTGCATCCGCGGGCACGCGCGTGTGTGCTACGTGCAGCGGCGCACGAACGCGCAACGAATGAAATGCGGATCAAATTTCCAAACGCGTGGGTGCTCACATTTCTTTCGATCTACTCGTTTACACATTCACTAATCACCAGCGACACGTCGTCGTTATTGTGCTTGTAGTGGAGCTCGACTTGTTGGGGCATTTTCTCGATTTTCGTACGATTACGATGTTGTTTACCGAGCACCGATACAAGTCGCCACTGACCGGCTTGTGGCGCGTCGCGCAAGAATCTAAATATAAAACGGTTGCGTCGCGAGCGATAAACATGTTTGCCCGAGTGTAAGGCCCAACCGGCGCGCGCCGTGTGATTGTTGCGATTTTCTTTTGTTTTCGTTCGCCGCATTCGCAGCGGTATCATCTTCACGCAGCGATGTTGTTTGTGAAGGCGGTTGTAGGAATGTGGTATTTTTAAATTTGGCGCCATCGCATGTTATTTTTGCGTGGTTTGCAACTGTGGCCAATGCAACCGCGGCCTATCGCTTCGGAATATTTACCAATTGAGGAGATTGTGATTTATGCACAATTACGAGCGCGGCTTGTCAACTGCCCTTGATCAATTGACTCTTACAAGATAAACATAAAATTCCGATAAATTAAAATGATTACATTTTATTGTTTCAGATGCATTAGTATTTTACACTGATTGGAAAATCGTGAAATGGGTCGTAATGTTACCGGTTGAAACAATTACAGTGTCGGTGTAAGTTAATTACTGAGTTTCGCTTTCGTGTTAGTCTACGAAACATTCAATGCTCGTGAGATGACTAGTGCGATCCGCGTTTATCGCCGATTGGTAAGTAAAATAATGTGACCGAGACGCATGCAAGTGAGCAAGTTAAGAAAGAATTCGTGAGAAGGGCATTCACCCCACCGAAACACGGATAAAACCCGGCGTTTGGATTGTGTACTTGTCGAATCTGACGTGAGCGCATCGTAGTTAGCGTCCCCTCCGTACATCGACACTACGCAAAGCACGCATTTAATTGAGCCATAGAAAATAATTTTAATTTCGTTCGCGATCTGTTAGATAATTGATTAAATTCAATTCCTAAATAAACTTTTAACCTTCAAATATTTACATATTAATTATCCCACACAGAAATATCTGTATATATTATTCTAAGATACTTTATATGTAAATTAAACACGTTTTTCAAAATAAACAAGAATCTCGCTTACATTTACCATAACCTAGCGCAACACTGAAATTTTGCACGGCTCTAAAATAAGTGGCAAATGCGACGCCATTATTTGAATGAAACGCGGGTAGATGAACATGTCGGCAGCAGGAGGGCAGCGAGCTTTGCAAGTAGAACAAACAATGAACTGGCCGCGTCGACGCGCAAACGTACACCGCGCAGGCATGGGAAGCACGTCGTACGCGCGTACACCGCGTCATTGCGTTGTAAGTTCGCAATGATTACCACGCTCGCCGCAAGGGTCAACCCTGTTTACACACGCATCTACATATCCTACTACTCCGCAACTACTCGACTCACTACATTTATTGCAGCGTGTAATTTACAAGTCATTCGTTGACTTTCCAACGGTTTCGTTCATGAAGTAGCAGCGATTTGTAATTCACTTATTCGCACCGCTACTTAAATATTCCCTGCCGGTGCAGCGCGGTGAAATGTGTGGTAGGTAGCGTACTCGCATGCGCGCGTCATACGATCATGCGTGCCACTGTGCACGGCGAAAACGCTTAACTGTACGTCGCGACTAAATGCAGACACCTTGAACTACTTACGGTGCCGAAAATCGCCGCTACGAATCCGGTCAAAAGCGGGCTCACCTTCTCCGATGCAGAATTAATTGCAATGTGCAAGCGCATCACGATTGCACTCACGCGCGGCTACTGCCATGAGACCTACTCGCGAGTTTTCATTGGTTTCATTACTCCGACTGTCACAATATTAAAATATTCAATATTATTATAACGATAAAAACAAATTTACTGTAATCGAAGTCATTATAATTATGCATTTGTGCAGTATTGTTTATAAATAAAAAAATAAACGGATAAGGTTTTTTTTTCAATGCCTTATCAGTGAATAGATTACGATAGCGGAGACCGATTCATGAAACAAAAGACCTCTCATCGCAAACAAAATCAAAGTCAGGTTTCTGGTGCGATGTTGGTAGTCAGTCATCTGACCGAGTTATTGTACGTAACAAATTCGCCCGAAAAGCTGTTAGCATTTATGATAGCATTGAGCGACAACAATTATTACGGGCTCGTGGTTGTTCTCGCACAGCGTAAGCAGTGCGGAATCGAATTTACTTTCTATTTTACATTTTACTTTTGGCATTTTTTTGCGCACCGCCGAAAAATGGTGTCAAGGAACGTAACGAGTAACGACATTCACGCCGACGCGCATTCAAAGCACCCGAAATGCAACAAGCTCTGCGCGCCATCCCGATCATCGTGGCATGACTCGCTAAATTCACAAATGTTTGAATCCTGCAACCCTTAATGAAACAGGGCGGTATTTTCACGAATCGCAACATGGAAAATGCGCGCGGTACTTTCAGTGCTTTCGGCGGGTGAAAGCTGCGAGAAAGAGGCCTACGTGCTGCTGCAGCACGTAGTCACAAACTGCCACGGATTTCGACGCGTCCAGGATTGACGATGCTATATTAACAGATTGGCATGTTGCGTCCGATATTGTACATCGATCGATGCTCTTCCCGATGCACTAAATGATTTTCACCGACGATGAACGTCGGCAAACGTTAAGCAATTTTTCGGATGCACGCATACTCTATCTGCACTGGCGAACGCGTATGACTCGACGCGCACAGCCGACACGACCACAAGACGCCACCATAAAATCGCCGATTTTAAATTAAATACACGGTAATTCGCAATGACACTCACTTTTTCCGACGTGTACTTACATGTGTGAGGATTGGATGCACAAATCACGCATTAATTGCTCGTAATTTTAGAGAAAATTCACTTTTAGTGGGCACAAAGAACTTACCAATACAACACAGGTGACGGCAGGGAACACAGATAAAATGACTAAAGTGCGCATGCGTCGACTTACACTCGGTACATGACTAGACAATCAGTCTATTTATTAAACTAACATAATTTACAAAACAAATACTGAAGAATAAGAAATAAAAATAATCAAAATATTATAGCATATTTATTTTCTCTCATATATATTTATTTTTTGCAATAAACAAGAATATTTTTCAGTTTTTTATGATTTTGACTAGGGCAGTGGCATTTGCAATGTTGCCAACCAGGCGGCATTTTACGCCGTGTAGTCCACATTAAATTTCTAAACTAATATCATTCCGAGGATTATATTTTACGTGCATAGTAATAGTTTAGTATTAACTAGAAGAAACCAAACAATCAATTGGAAATAATGTTATGATTTAGTTATGTGATATTTTAATCCATAAGTTGTAGCTAGTTTAAAGAATTACCCCTGGTGGCGTTAACGCGAAGCTTTTCTGTTATGACTTTACTGGTCGCAGGTTGCAGTATACCTATGTCACAATCAGCTGATTTTGTAGGCTTTCTCGGAACGTATATTTATGCCATACATGCAAAGCTTGCGAAATTTGAGTAATAACGCACTTAGGGTGAAATATGCTCGCGGACAAGCCGGCGAATAATGGCGGACTCACATGATTTCAAAGTTGTTCTGTTGGGTAAAGGATGTGTCGGCAAAACAAGCATCGTTCTGCGGTACACTGAGGACAAATTTAACAATGAACATTTAACAACTATTCAGGTAAGTACTATGCATAAAACGCCTAAAGTTAACATTGTGTAATCATGACTAATATATCATATAAATGAGACAACTATGATAAAAAGTTACAATGTTTCTATGGTTTTCTCACTGTTTTGTTTTTCAAACTGCCAGGTATTGATGAAAATGAATTCTTTCAGGCATCATTCCTCAAGAAGAAGTTAAATATCGATGGAAAACGCATCAATTTAGCAATATGGGACACTGCAGGCCAGGAAAAGTTTCACGCCCTAGGCCCGCTTTACTACCGCTCCTCAAATGGCGCTGTGATAGTCTATGATATAACTGATCAAGACTCCCTGCAGAAAGTAAAGAGCTGGGTGAAGGAATTGCGCAAAATGCTGGGTACCGACATTAGTTTGGCAATTGTGGGTAACAAGACTGATTTGGAACACGAGCGGCAGGTGGACCTCAACGAGGCAGACGCCTATGCTCAAAAAGTCAACGCGCTCCATTGGCACACGTCAGCGAAAGCTAACGAAGGCATCGAAGAGTTATTCCTCGCGCTGATCGAGAAAATGCTCGAAAGGCGCGCAGAACAAGAAGCGCAAAGCTCGACCCTTTCGCGGCAAGGCTCCCAGCGGAAGAATGTCCTCGTTGTCGACGACGAGCAGCTCGAACCCACACCGAGGTCCTGCTGCAGCTCGCAGTAGCGATACTGCATGCCATTTTGTTTTATTGTTTTTCGCATTCCTTATTCTGTTACGTTTTTTTACTTCTCACGTGTCGTTTAGTATTTGCGAGCACCTGCGTTTTTAAATATATTTATTTAGATTATTTATATCCAGAATCAGTAACATGGATAGCATCAATTTAGAGACTTAATTTGCGCGCTTTTTCTTTCGACTTTCTTGGCTTACGCAGAAAAATTTTACAAACTTGATAGGGATTACTTGCGTAAATTGGTTCTGCTCAAAATGCATCGTTTCCTAATTATTACACTGTGTGATATATAAAGTTATGAGTAATTATAGATTTATTATTGTATACAGATGCATTATACGAATATTAATACAGTAGCTTATAATTCATCTTAAGTATTCATTCTCATGTCAATAGACAATGAAATGTCAATGTCAATGAAAACGTTAGAATCATGTATATATAAACTTTAAAATATAACAACAACTAAAATAATACTGTGTTGATTTTTTCTATTGGAACCTATTGACTCCTAAAGGTGAAAATATTTGCGCGATAAAATGCAATCATATTACGTCTTACTATTATTTATAGCTAAAAAGTGCATTGCAGCGCCCTCATGTGGCGTTAGAAAGTACTTTATTGCTTTAAATTCAACTTTATTTCATGTTTTGTTTGTATTTATATTCTAGTTTAATACTTTAAATAGGCTGAAAAGAATAAAGTAGAGCCGTAATCTCATAAATCTGGGTGGCATTCTTTGTATCGTGTGTAAAAGTATGAAGTTACAGACAAAAACAAACAGTGGCAGTTTATGCATATGTATTTATTTATTTTTTCATGAATAGTTATGATTAATAGTAGAAATATGTAAAATTTGAGTATGCAGAATGAAACATTTACATACTAACGGTACGTATTTATGATTTATATTAATTGCTGCATAGAAAATCATGACTAACGGCATTTTTGCTAAGTTTGCACTAGAAGGTTTTGAACTTCAGATTACTTGAAGTTGTACCCCATGATAAATTGTATCAATGTCAATGAATAATAATGATAATGTAGTTTACTCACTCGATAAGCATTAGTTCAAGTTAATCAAATCCAGGAAACAGTTTGGTCCGATATTAACAGTAATTATAATATTGTCTAGTTTCTTTTTCCACAGCATGACATTCGATATTAAATTGTTCGCAAAGAAAACGATTTATCCACTGGCTCCTGGCCAAATGTTTTTTCGCTCAATTTCGAGATGAAACCGTGCGATAAACTCCAAAGTTAATAATAACTTCAAACGATTTTCAAACAATGGATGCATATAAATAAATTGTAGATATATGTAGTATGCTTTTGCAACCTTATGCTTTATGATATGACTAAAATGTTAAAATGTCTCTAATATGTAGTTATTTCAGTTTGATCTTGATATAGAACAGGATAACAAATACAGTAGCATAGATGGATGCATGTCTTGTCTTTATATAACGATAAATTCAACATTATATCAAAAAAACCCTTCTAGTTTCAGTAGACAGTTGCTTCGTTTTGCAAAATCATGTATGCGGAATTGTATATATGTATTTTGATATTTTTGTCATGTAAACAGAAACAAAATATAAAGTAAAACAATTGAAAACATAAAGGAGATGTAAGAGAGAAGTAACAGAAGAATACTAAAATTACGAGCTCTAGTACAACTCTTAAATTATTAAATATACATTTATATGCCGTATTAATAATGAAATTAACTATAACTATAACTAATTGAATCACAACACAGTGTTAGATAAGTATAATCATAGAATGAAACGTATTTAAATACATACATACTTCAATCTTGTTTCTTTCGTTATGCAATACGCAACTTTTCACAAAAATAAAACGAATGGCAACCTTGTTGCCGTTGTTTTTTTTTTTCATTTAGCAACAAGTGCCACAAATAATATTACACAGCATTCCTTTTCTCGCAAGTTTTGCAGTATAGATTCATTTATTGATAGAAGTTTGCAGCTTCAATTAAAATTTCTTCGCCTAACTAAGTAAAGTCACAATAAAATTACTTAATAAATAACTTATTGTTCTCTTTTTTGCAACTTACAATCTAATCATATAATTATTTCTTTCATTACCTGTTGGTTTTCGTATTAAATGTAAATATGTTTGCGTTTTTTTTATATTGTTTTACAATCGTTTCACGTTTATACTATGCTTATTCAGCGCGGTCGCTAATATTCGCGATTTTCTAAACAAAGTTATTCGAAGGAAAAAGGAATTAAAGACACAGAACCGGGCATGCAAAAGATGCGCAGAGAAAAAGCAGCTGCCTAGTCACCGCCAGGATAATATTACACAAAAATATCATATAAATATATAAATCAATCACAAATAAAGCACAACAGATAATTAGATGATTATGTGCCGAATTTGATAACAAAACGTGTCTGAAAAATGCCGATAAAAGTTGCTCCTATCTAAAACCAAGATAAAAAATGTATTATCTCGTTAATGAAACGTTTCACCAAGTTCAATTGCTTCAGAACCAGCACTTTCGTCAAACATGCAACGTCCCCTGCTAGTTTTATTCAATCGTCTTCTCACATCTTCCCGTTTTATAAAATAAATTAAATAATACTTATTAAGAGTTGCTACAACTAATCGTAATCTGCAATCGCATTGCCCCAGCGCCGCTTAGAGCGGCCGCATGTCTCCAGGCTCGAACGAAAGCAGTAACAGTATTTATATGCCAATAAAGGTAATTTTGCTGTACAATATAAAATTAAGACTTCGATAATTTGCTGATAACTCTGATTAACGCTCCGTTCTCCTCTTTCAGCCGCAGGTTTTCCTTCTTCAGTAGGTCCATTTGCTGCAATGACAACAGACAAGATGATACATTAGTATTGCAAACAAACAATATGCAGATAAACAAGTATACGTCTCACAACGAAAATATATCACAAGACAAAGTTAAAATCCATTAACATCATGCATCTTCGAAAACAAAAGCGCTTCGTTCGCTAGAAAAACAACATAAAACATTTGAGAAAGCAAAGAGTGTGCTAAATGTTAAAAAAAGATTCGTATCATAAAACATAAATCAGTATTTAGTGTATTTTGAGTAAAACAGCACCGTTTACGGAATTAATAAGGAAATATTTGTTAAAATGTGCACTGGTAAATTGTGTGCTGGTTGTGTTTTGGAAGCAATTTTGTTTGTTTGACGTTATTGGTACTACAATTTTTTTTTTAATGTTAAAATCAATGTCAGTGTTGCCGTTGGTTGAATGTTGCAGAGCGTGGATGCATCTTTGTTGACTTGAATGGATTAAAAAGTGTGAGAGAAATGTGAGCGGGCGCATTGCGTTATGCATCGTATTCGGCAGCGTGTTTTCGGGCGGACACTCTACCAAAAACAGAGTTACCTATTTCGTGGCAGAGTTGCTTAGCTTGCTGACGACGCGCGTCAGAGCTCTGTTTTCGGCCCGCAGGCGTTCGTTCTCTGCCTTTAGCTTTTGCAATTGCTAGAAAAGACAATTTTCATATTGGTTGTAACTGCTCCTCGAGACTTTCGACGAATCAACAAACAGACACGATAACACAAATGAAGGCGACGAGGGAAAATTAACACAAGTAAATTATGTGATTATAACAATAGAAACAACAAGTATTCAAAAAACGTGTAAGAATGTGGCGGGACGAAACGAGTGAATGAAAATACATTTAAAAATGCAAAAAATAGACGCAGGATACTTGTTAATGACAAAAATGTATCAAAAACAACGTTCACTACGCTCTGAGAAAATGTTAAAAAAAAAAACATGTCGCACAAATAAAAAATGATCAAAATGAGTAAACAAAAACAAAACAAAAGATTGAAGATGCGATTAAATTAAAACGGAAAATGTTGTGTACTGGTGATGATAGTGGACGAGTCTTACCTTCAATTCCTCTTCCATTTCACTCAACTTCCTCTCCATTGCGCGTCTTTCTCGTTTTTCTAATTCAGAGAGTGAATTTTTACTTGTCTGGAAAAATAACACAAAAAATATTTATAACATTTTCTTTAATTTTAAAAAAAGGCTAAATACTCACAATGGTGTTGAGCTTTTCTAGTGTAGTTTTAGTATCCCTGAGGTCTTCGTCAGACTTCCTCAGCTTATCCTTAAGCCTGTCATTATCTGAAAGCGCCTGCTCGTAGAGTTTCTTATAATCAATCTCACCGTTCTCGCCGCGCAATATTAAGTCATTGGCGCTGCCTAATCGTGAACTTCGTGAGCTCGACCTTTCTGTACCGCTCTGAAAAAAAAAACAACATAAATTGGTAAATTTAATAAACATGACGTATTTTAGCCGAGTTTTTCAAGTTTTTTTTCTGGATTCTTACACAATAGCCTTCAGAATTCAAAGAATTCATGCTCAAACTCTTCGATCCCATTCCACTCTGTGATCGCGATCGTGAATGCGACCTATCGCGACTGCTGTAGCTACCGTTCCGCGAGACCTGTCGTGACCTATGTCCTTCGTTCCCGTAATTATTGCCATAGTTAACATTGGCGAGTGTTTTCGCAGGTATCGTCAGACTACCTGTCGTGGTATATCCGGAGGACGATCCTCCATTGCGATAACCGTTCGAATAATACGGACTTTTGTATGTGGACGAACCGTACGAACTTCCACCACCATAATTATTCCCATAACTGGAAGAATACGACGAATAGGGCGTCGAGCTTGAATAACTGCTGTAGGGCGTTGTAGAAGCGCCTGCGTAGTAGCTCATACTTCTGGGTCTCGTCCCCGAAGTGTATCCGTTTGTCATGGAGGAAGTATTTCCGGTGCGAAGGGCCGAGGCGGACCTTCGACGCGCCGGAGCGACCGGTTGCTTTGATCGGAAGGACATTTTATTTTTATTATTTTAAAATTTGTTTTTGTAGCGTGTGTGCGCTAATATCTTGTGCCAATATCCAGATGGTGTTGACAAATTTGTCTTGATTCGCACTTTTTTCTCCGGTTCCCGTCACGCGTTCGCCGCTAGCTTTCGCAGACTGTTTGGGCAATGCGCGGCACCCGTGAATATATCACGCACGTTACCTTTACTTTTCGTCTGGCGACTGGGCGCTATTTAAAACATTCTCGAAACAAGAGGGAACCCGCGCGGCTGTTTCCCGTCCACGTGTGACGTCGGCACACGCACGAAAAACGACATCTTTTTTATCGCATATATTTTACGATTAATGACTAAAGAAGAAATGACAACTCTACTTTCTCACAGAAACTTTAATTATATGCGATAGACGAGTTGATTGAAATAGTCACAATAAATCATAAAGTGGGCGAAACTTTCTGAAAATTTTGAAAATTTAGACAGTGCCATTATGTCGGTGTAATTTATTCACCTCACAATGATATTTTTACCGACGCAGATATTTCAAACCGTTTCTAGAGACAATTTTAGCACTGAACAGTGAACCGAAAAAATGGCATTCACAAATCTGTATATCTAACGCGCCAAAACAATTTCTGTGTAAGAAAAACATGAAAAGTATTTCGTCCCTACCAAATTTACAATGTTTCCACTTTTGCCACTTAGTGCTGGTTCATTTAGAACAGTGTCCTCATCATGTCAGCTTATTTTTTCGTAATGCCGTTGATCGTAGATCATTGTGTCATTTACGGTCGTCAGTAATTTTCACCGATTGGGTTTGTTTAGAAACACGCGTTGATCGCCAAGGCGGGTGTCGCATGCGTTTCCCGCACGTTGGTCCAAAATTTACAGCAGACCAAAATATAAATGCATGACGAAACCTTGACACACAGCCGCTAAAATCCACCGGCTGTCTCTCACGTGAGAAAACCGAAAGACATTAAGTATTAAGTATTAACTTAAGCATCAATAGCCACAACATTTATAATTGACTTAAGCTCTAGTTAATCCCCACGGCAATTTCTTCATAAATTACGCAAAAAAAAAAAACTTCGACTCGATCCAACTTCGTAGGTTGGAAAACAGTGGGCTTTTATTCATCGTCCCCACGCGATATTTTCAAAATGTTCAAACATTTCGTAATATATCAGTGTATAATTAGACGCCGAAAGAAATACGACGAGCTGAACGCTCGAGCTAGAGTTGTTTTTATCGAGAGGCGCGAAATCGGTGCGGACATGTCAAAACATTTAATTTTTCTCTAAATTGCAATCGAACGCGATCGCAATGAAACGGGTGCATCATTGTCTAAAAATACGCGCGGCGTGTTTGTATGCGGTGTTAAAAATAACCCGACCACCGTCGAATATATTTGTTACGTGCGAACAATTAAAATAGTCGTGACGAACTAGCAGGCGGCCTAATTACACTAATTTTCCGCATTCACATGAATCATGGCATGCATGTATGCTGTAGTTTTATGAGTTTATCTTCCGGATGATGCCAAAACGACAACTGCTGACACCCGCCTTCTAATCGAATCATTCTTAAACAGTTTAACAACTACATATAATCTGTATTTTATGTTCGCGAGGTTTTAACGTGCGCAGATTGTGCAAACTTTTGCATAGAAAACAGTCAAAACGTTAAAGAGTAACTGCTGATCAGGTCATTACTCAAATTTTACGACTGCCGAATGTTTTGCATGTTGTTTTAGGCTTTCCTGTGGCTGGATAGATTCCAAATCGCCGGACCTTGTACCTGTATCAACAAATACTCCCAGCACGTGCCCGCTTCACTTTACTCGATTAGCGTATTTTTGGCTTAGCAGCCTCAAACAATCAGCGCGGCGCGTGTGCGCCTCTAATGGCACATTACGACCAATAAACTTCCAAACCGAAAGCTTTCCCAATCCGTCAGAAAACGCAATGCGGAGTGACGCGCAGAGCTTTATCGCTCCCACGCATCCTGCATCCTCTTTCGGCGTCTGCGACGCCTTTGTATGTACGACGCTCGATCCGCGCATCACGATTATTTGAATCGGACCGGTGTAGTGCGCGCGTTGAGAACATCCCTAAATTTAGCCAAACGGCGTCTAATTTTAACCGCCTAGTACCCGACGATATTCGTACGTAATCGGCGTGCGATGATCACATGTGTTCAATTCGCGTCGAGAAAAAACACTGCATGTTATGTTTTTGGTTGAATCCAGAAGTTGGGATTTTCCGACAGCCTGTAGATCAAGTTCGTCGGCATCCATTAACGCCGGAATTATTTACGTTTGCATGACATATTAAATGTTAGTTAATCGTTTACTTCTTCCTGCTGCTGTTTGTTTAATAGTGCGTTGATCTTATCTTCTTCACATGTGAATTGGTCTACTTCATTTCGATTGCGAATACTATTGAGGTCTGTTTTTATCGTGGATACAACAAGTGTGGATAAAATTAGGCCGTTTGCTGAGAAACTGGCAGAGCTTGTTGGACATTTGTCACTTTCAGGTGTTCGGGACTAATTGCACAACAAAGAAAATTACCACGAACACGCCAAAACTAAACTAAGTTATGAGCATATTTCGGGAAGGAAAATGACAAGAACCTTGAAAATATATTCATGGCATTCAAATAAAGAAAATAAGTATTGAATTATTGAATAACTCACCTCTTGATGATTTTGTTTGTTGGCATCCTCATTATCAACCGTTGGTGAACTGTCCTTTTCCGGTTCAAAGTCCTAAAATTACCCAAAATCAATTTAATGTTCTCCAAAACAAGAAAAAAAAAACATTAAAACTTACTTCATTATTGTCAAATGCGACGACACCAGTCGACCTTCTCTTGGGCCTCCTTCGCCTTTGAATAGCGGCTTGCGTCGCCAAGGTAGCCGCCTGCACGTTCCGCACATCGTTCTCTTTATCCTGCTCCCTATCAGCATTCTTCTCCTCTGTTGATTTCGGTTTTCGCAACGACAGCGTCACAGTGGTATCAGCGGTTTCCACAACCGGCGCTGATGATGGCCGCACCACCGGAGTGGTTGTGGTGGTTGATGCGGTGGTGGTCGTGCTGGACGGTCGCCGCACAAAGGCGGGTGTAGTCGTCGTTGTGGTTGACACGGCCGGTGAAGACGCTGGCGGCTCCACTTTATTCGCGTCCTCCAATTTAAACTACACAAAACAAGAATAAAATAGTTAACACCGATGGTTACCGCAATTAGTCACCGCAAATTGTTACCAAACTATTGTTTACTAGCATACATATTCGAATAAGTTAGAAATAGAAATCCCCAGAATTCAATCCGCGGAGCGCGTATAGAAGGGAGACACAGTCATCGGGATGATTTATGGGCGATTTCTCTAATTGCCTTATAGGAGCGTATCGAGTGTGATTCAAGGCCGCCGAGGTGATTACAAACATGGCAATGTCATCATCATACGGCGTTGTTCACATTTCGAAGCGCATTTATTGCAGCGATTAAATGCATCGCGCTCCACGGAATTAATCGGGGTTTACAGGTTTATTTAATCATGAGTACATTGTTCTACACTACGAGTACATCTAAAGCCATTGACTAAATAAAATAAAAGCATGGATAAAAATAAAATATCAAAAATATGTACGTCTAAAAAATATTCCACTTGCACTAATGTAAATAATGCAGAAACAAGTAGCCGAAACGCCTAAACAAACAAACACCGACCAAAAAGAAAGCAAACAACATCGGCTGATACAGCAGCGTGCAAATACAGCAAACAAACACGACGCACCAAACGCCAATCTGTAAAACAACACAAACTACAGAGGAAGAAAAACGAAAAATAAAAACAAGGAACTTATTGGAATCTCTACGGCATCCTAAAATAAGTAGCTGTTATGATAATACGATCAAAAAGATTTATGACAAACACCGAGCGCATGAAGTGTTAATAAATAAAATTGAGAAGAAGAGTCCTGTGAAGACAAAGCCGTAAAGCAATACGCACCTTACTACCATTATCCACGCGCAACCTCCACGATGGCCTCCGCTCCTGTTGAGCTACCTGCGGCTGTTGAAGCGGCTGCTGTGTCGGTGTCAAAGGCGGCTGAACAACACCATGCGTGGTAGTCGTGGGTGTGGAGGCGGCATCATCATCTCGCGTCGGCGACTGCGGCACGGTGGGCACCGCCGTCGTGATCGTCGCGCTCACGCTCACCCCGTTAGACTTTTAGTACGGAAGCAAAATTGATGGTTAGCATCGGGGTGTAGTACACATGATATGATGGAATAAGATTATTAACATTTGAATTAAATTAATCTTAATGAATTCTGATCAAGAACGGAAATTATTCGAATCCAATCCACCCAAGTTGAAGCATGTGTGACAGGGTCATTGGAACTGTGATTTACCTGTTCATTATTATTGTTGTTGGTAGCCTGGTTCTTCTTGTTGACGAGCTTCTCGGCCGATTTGATTTCTTCGAGCGTGACGCCTTGCGTCGATCTTCGCGTCTCGCGGACACGTTTCGCGTGGGCCTTACGTTGCGTTTCGCTCTCTTCATCGCGAACTGGAGGTACGAATGATCTGGAATACACAAAATTATCATATTATTATTTGAGCAGCGTTGTAACAATGAAAAAAGCATGACAAACAAAACGCAGAGTTACAAATTAATGTTTCCTTTATACAAAACATGTTAACATGTTAATACAAGTTTGTTTTTTACTTTTTCTTAAATCATGTTGGTAAAAATTAACACCAAACAACATTAGTCTGCAAAACATCACACGGCAATGTATCCAGCATACTTAAAGAAGTTCTTAATCATTGTGAGCCGATTGTTCTGCGCCATAGACGTTGGCGGCGTTGTGGGTGTGAGAGGGGTGGTGCCGTTGGTCGTCGGGGTCACCTGCACCCCGGTGGCGGCCGTCACAGTTGCAATGGCAGCGTTTATCGGCAATTTTAGACCGCTATAATTTCGTGTATGACTCAACGCATGATTCAAATAATATTTCAGAATACGCCCAAAGTTCATTTAAGTTCAAGCGTATCCCATACAAATCTTTTTTTGAAACACATATTTACCTTCGGACGGGTTGACTGTTGGGCAGAGGGCTGGACGTCGGCGAGGTGGCGGCATTCTTATTAGGCGACGCTGTCGCCGAGGGCGTAGATTCATTACTATCGCCAATTTCTTCTTTATTATTAGCACTAGAATCACATCCAGGGTTAAAACACCATCCTCTTGCCAAAATTAACTAATTGAATTAATCATGATAAGTTAGTTTTAGTAACATTATGAATTTAGTTAAAATTTCGAGTCTTCATGCGGAAAGCGAGCGTTCATCCGCGAGCGCGGACAGAATCAATTTGTACAAAAATAATTTCAAAAGTTTTCATCAACAAATCTAATCAAATGTAGATATAAAAAATAAAATAAAAATAAAACGTCGTGCATACCTGAGTTGCCGCTGGTGGGATGGGGGCGGGATGATGTAAGTGGGGTTGTGGTAGTTAGGGTAGGAACTGGCCTGGATGCGTGCGCGCAGCGCCCTATATCGCGCGTAGAACCTAAACATGCAAGCAATGTGAGTCAAACAATGATCAGGATCACTCTCAGGCTGTTTCATACTGACTTCTTCATCATCAAATTTTGCACAATTTCCAATGACAACATTGCAAAGTATACGCACGCAGAATGAAAAAATTTCAAACAGGAACAAAAATCATGCCAAAAAAGAAATAAGTAACACTGACAAAAATCAAAAGTAAAGATTTAGAACACGTTCCGAAGGCTAAAGTCAAACTCATTCCAAAAACCAATTTAATTTACGAAACGATAATAATGAGTTATAAAACAACCTGGAGTAATCGATAAAATGTAACTTCTTTTTAATATTTGAATATTATTTTAAACATGTCTGATCTCTCCATTGCAATATGAAAGCATTATTTTTTCGTTTTTAATCATTTTAATCATTTTAATATGCAAACGGTGTTTGTCTTTTTCGTTGGTAAAGTAATGAAAAGCAAGCGACGTGCGAAGCGGTCGTCGCACTTGATTAATTGTTGTTAATCACACACAATGATGGCGTGTACGTAATTATGATAAAATAATGATGTTTAAGTTAATCACCGATATTATTACCGTTTGGAAATTTTGTTAATAATAAAAAATAAAGCATCATCTTGCCAAGGAGTAAATATATCATCTGTTTCCTTTCAAATAAAAAATAATAGTTTTTTCGTTTGTTTAAATATCACATTTGTGATGAGTTTTAAACGTTGAAAATATTTTAAAGCTAGCATTGGTTAATTGTACTTACTCAGGATCATTCTGGAAGCTGTTCGTTCGCCGTAGTTGAACATCATTTTCATTTGTTACTTCTTTACTCTCTGTAGATACATAACAACATATTTAGTAACAAATAAATGAATAATTTTCAAAGCACTTACTAAAACTATTACTACTCTTAATTGGTGTTTCTGTCTTGGGCTGTCGCCCTGGGACGGTCCGTCGCCATGACGGTTTATTATCATCTGAGTTCTCATCAACAAGAGGTTTAGGTGGCGATGGGGGCGGCATCTTCACTTCGTCATCCTTATCCTTGGTACTTATATGCACAGTGTCCATATTCGAATTTACCCTATTCTTCTTTTCTGTAATGTTCCAATAAACGCATTAAAAAGAGCACAAATTATAGATAGATGACTAAGTTAACACTAACAGAAGAGACACACAAAACGAGTTCAATAAAACATAAAACAATAACCAACTAATAACAGTATGTGACAAACAATAACAAATACAAATCAGTCATTGAATCATCATGTGAAGAATAAATCAGAATAAATGTGTGGTGCGATCCAAATTTTGTAACAAGACAAAATCCGAAATTGAAACGTTTTGACAATGTTGAATATATTTTTGTGGTTGAAAAACGTGTCGAAGACCACACAACACAATGTACATTTGATTACCATCTGAATTAGTGGACTCTGATTCTGTATCGCTATCGTCGACGCTGTCCGAGTCGGTCTCGCTCTCAGTCGAGACCTCCATTTCTTTAATCGCCGCAAGCAAAGTGAACAAAAATCGAAACACGCATGAGATTATTGTTATGCATCGTTAGTTAGCGCTTTGCAAACTCAAAGAGATATATCAATTAATATGAATATGTATATAGTTTTAAAATGCAATGCAACTTGAAATAGCGAAACGTTACGACTGTGCAAAAATGAAAAATGATTTGAATAACAGAAATTAAAATAAAATTAAAAATAAGCTAAGCGTTGCATATAAACTAAGATACGATTAAGTAAACAACAATTTTATTCTGGCATTTTGGGCAAATAAATAACAAAATAGCGGCGAAAGAAAGGAAAAAAAAGTAGTCAGGTACTGGCCCTACATCTCGACGATAAGCATAAAGAAATAAGAGCATAATAAGCATTAATTCACAAGTAATATAAAAGTCAAGTTGCAAGAAAAGCGGGCGTGCAGAGCGAGCGAAGTAGAGAAGAGGCGCGCGGAGGCGATTGTCAGGTCTTACCTATGCTGTACGCGTTCAGCTTGTCTTCCGACTGCAGGTCCAGCTCCCGCTTGATCTTCTTTGGCGTTTCGTTGTCGGCAATCTTGTCCGAGTCAAGCTTCTTCTTCGCCAGTCGCCGGCTCACCTCCTCCTTGTTTTGTTTATTACGCAGGTCCTCTAGGAAGCGATACATTTCTGTATCGGCAACGTCAGAAGATGTTTGCCCCTACAAATTATTCATTCATCAAATTAATAGTTTTCAAATAGAGATAAAAGTCACTTACAACAAAATTCTTAGCATCCATATCGCTGAAATTTTCAACTAGGACTTGTGCCGCCTCCTTCTGCCCCCAATGCGCAGCCGCATGCAGAGGCGTCCATCCATCAACGTCTTGTTTGTCCACATCGGCGCCGATTTGCAAGAGTATCTTCATTACATCAAGATATCCTTTGGCGGAGGCGACATGCAGCGGGGTGGCACCCGTTTTTGGGCTTTCTATATCTACACATTTGTTACCCGTCGCGAGCCACTCCTTTGCGTCCCGCAGCATCAGTCTCTTTTCTTCGTTGCGCGCCTCCTCACAATCCACACCTAGGATCAAATCATATTTCTAGAATCATTAATCATCATCTGGTGGCCAAAAATACAGTTCGCAAAAAGCTACACGAAAATTTGTGCCAAACTGGTGCTAAACTTTTGGGAGTGAAATCATAAAAACAGGTTACGAGTGCGAACGCGCGCGCGCAAAGACAGAGGCCGGCAATCAGGAAGTCGAGATCCATTCCGCAATCGCCCGTCCAATCCGATCGGACATTTCACATTAAGTCGGCAGCAGCAGCACACCAGTGCAGCCACAGACAACATAGCAGACTGGTTATGACACACTTTATAAATAGCCGACGGCTGTTTTATTCGGATGCGTTTTCTGTGTGCGCTTTCGTCCACGCTGCTCCTGCTGTTGGCGTTTCGACTATTACACCGAATTGCAAAAGATTCAATGCAGCCGCTACTAGCGAGAGTTCCGCAAAAAGCGCACACGGAATGCCTGTCAAAGCGCGTCGCATACAACAATCGGGTTATTTTTAGGCCAAACTTTAAATGTAAAGACATTTTTGCAGCAAATATCCTGCAAATCCGCCGCTCGCATTCCGTCGTGTTTCTTTACCTATTCCCATTCGCACATGCTCGAATCTCCGGCGCGCTCCGTGCGCTATTTGTAAAAAGGCCCACTGCCGGCGCGCCGACTAATTTTAGCCTGTATTTTGCGCGGTCGTACAACAGAGATTCTCGACTCCGTTCGCGTCTAATAGTCCGCTGGACTCGTTCTATAATTTACGAGGAAAACGTCCGGTGCGTGTGCCGCGGACGCGTTCCTAGCCGCCGCCGCCAACGACGACGTCGCAAGCGGTACAACAAAGCTCACGTATCGACAACCAAAACGACCGCAAAATTACGCAAAACACTCGTGAATCATTTTCGCGAAATGACATGAACTTGAAATACTGCACGATCACAAAAGAAACAATTGGGTCATGTGATGTGATGCACATTAAATCCAGTCATAAATAACTGAGGCACCTAAAAAAACTAAATAACTTATTTACCTCGTTCCTCAATTTCCTGCTGAATGAGATCCTCCATCTCCTCGTTTTCGGCAATGTCCAGCGCCAGCTCGCCGTCACAGTTGACAGCGGCAACATTAGCGCCATGTTCGAGGAGATACTTGGCAATCGAGACGAAGCCGCAGCTGACGGTCGCGTGCAGCGGCGTCCAGCCCTCATTATCGCCGCGATTCACGTCCGAGCCGTGCTCCACTAGGAACTCTACCATGTCTAGGTTGTCGTCGATGCATGCCTGCAAAGAAGAAAACGAAAAGAACGCGATTAGTAACGCAGTTGACACGAAAATAACGTCAAACACGTTGAGCACGTGGAGAAAAAACGCGCGCGGCTACCAGAAAATATGGAGAATAAATTACTCCTTCGTGTGTTTATGCAGACTGAAGGCAGTCTAATTGCTCAAAGACGAAGCGTGCAACTGACGACCGTAAAATATGCTAACAGAAAGCTGCATCTACATGCACCCAGAAAGTACAAGTTTAAAGACGCAGACAATATCGCATGTCGCACGAAGCGGAAAGCAAAATACTGAAAGTTATTTTGCAAATTATAATAATGAATCACACATAAAAATTTATTTCCTCAAATAACCATCCAAAATTATCAGTAAACTTCCCTCAAAAGTGAACAAAATCACAAAAAGAACATAAATTTTTAACTGTTTAAGTGACTCCTCAATAATTCCAATTTTACCCACTTAATATTCATTTAAATATCATTATATTGTTATTAATTGTTAAATGCAAGCAAAATTCTCTTCGTCCACCGCATCAGATGAACGTATCGCCCTCCACAGCTCTCTTTGGAGGCCGTCAACAAAATGCAACATAGTTGATAAAACTTTCGTTGCATGCGATCCATACATCAGCTCCGACGATCGGCGACGCGCGCGCACAATCGCATCGCATGACCGTGTAATTCGTGCGTATATTTAGTTGCGGCGGACGGCGTGTCGCTGACCCTGATGGCCGTAATCGCGCGAAATCCGCGGGCGCGCGCGCGTCCACCAGAAGCGATCAGAGATAATACCTAGATCCAATTGTGTCTCGAAATACAGCAACTTAAATATACACACGCATTTTCATATACCCCTACAAAACATTTCCGGCTGTAAAAACAATGAACAAACCACGCGACAAGTGCTCTCAGCGCGTTTATCTGTGTCTGAGTACGAGTCTGACAAGAAGCAAAGGAAATGTCGAATGTCGCAATGATTGTGACGTCCGCATCTCGGTCGAAATAAACTCGACTGGACGGACACGCAGTGCTCTCTACCACGTTCGATTGCGGCACGTTCGTTCCGATTGCCAAAAAATTAATTCATCCTTGGAGTCGAGCCCAAAAAATTCAGGACGACGACTGATCGGAGGACGTTTGGATTAAACGTTCAAGTTAACGATTCATGCAGATTTTGCTCGTCGCTTTCCGACACTTGAAATTCACTTAGAAACAAAAAATGCAAAGCACGAGAGACGAAACTAATTGAAAAACGCTTAAAATATAACGTTGATTCATTCATAAAAAATCTTCCTGCGTCAAGCTTTCAATCTTTGCGTCTACAAAGTTGCTATTTATGTAAGATAGAAAACACCCGGTATATCTTGTGCGCGCAGTTACAATTTGCATTATAAAATAATGGGCAATGGTATAGATTTTACGAGCAATTAAAGTCGCATCAAGTCAGCAGACGATACAACTTGCGCTCGTCGCTGAAAATTACGCACTCATCAGCTTTATATTCCTTTAATCTTCAATAGGTGCGTAAAATTACGAAAATTAAGGATTACGACATACGAGCGTGCAAAGATGAAATATGAAATAACCAGTCACCGAGTTGTACGAGTTTTACGGCTTGTTTGTACCACTAAAATATCGCAAATATTTCCCCGTTCAAATAAAAATCAAGCTTCTGATTAGACAAGTATAGAATAGAAGCAGAAGCTCGACACTGAACAAACATCCGGCCGAAATTCGCACGAGCAGCCAAAACCGATTACCAATCTGGGAACAAGGACCTATTTGTTTCGTCCGCTTTATTGTTGTTTTATATTTACGCTCGACGTGTTCGTTCGCTCGGAGTGTTTGTCCGAATTCAACAAATGATGCGCTTCGGACACAACAAGCCGTCCGCCCATCTCAACGCGAGTTTTCCGGGTTTTCCACACGACAAACACAGGCGCGGCGGCGGCCAACGATCACCCGATTATTTACGATGAGGTTTATTTTTAGCACACCGTCTAACCAACCGCTATACATTTTTTCGATCGCTAAAACATGGTGAAAACCAAATTGAAGTATGCGTCGTGTAAAAGTGCTGCGATTCTAAATACGAGCGCGCGGAATGAGAAACAAAGTCACCACAAGCGAAACAAACAATGGCGCTGTATACGCAAACGCAACAAAATATGATTATAACTGTAGCAAAGCGCACTCAGCGGTCGTAAATCATTGAAATGTGAAAAAGAGGCGAACGAGAGAATCGAGAGGAAAACGAAGCGAGACCATCGGGGAGTCAGTGCGCGACGACACACACACTGCCACATGCAAGAAAACAAAGTTTCCGAACGTTTCCAATTCGACGATATTACAAATTACGTGCGGCGAAGAGATTTGCGTTGCGCCGTGCAATGTGCAATACAATTTACAGTAATAGTTATGCGATGGCGTTTCCATCGGGATTATTACTATCGCTACGTGCCGGGCATATTTTTCAATGTTTCGCGAAAGGTAACAACTTGCAAACGCATTAAAAACGAGAATGAACTCGTAAATTTCAATGAAATTACGTTGCATTGCAACAAAGTTATCGCATAATATCATTCTGCATCGCATTTTAATACGATATTTTTTTATAAAATTGTTAAACACGGTAAATTATATGTATCCATATATAATTCTACATTTATGGACATAAATTAAATGCAAAACAATAAGTAGTTAAATCTGCTTCTTGTTAAATGCGAAACAGTTAGCTCCTCATTCATTCATTCCGATATGCCGATATGGTATTGACTTAATGTAGAAAAAATCGTTAACGCACTTTGCATTGCGGTTGTGTAAGTGTACACATAGGTATGTAGTTACTTACTGGCGGCGTGCGATGTGATCGGAATGAAGTTTCGGCGTTAATTAGATTGAAATTCCGATCGGTGCTATCAGCATTTATTTTCGCTCCACTGCGGCGGCATACGGTGAAATACCTCACATTTCTTTTTAATAGGTACAAATTAATATGAAATATCAATCTCGAATGATACTTTTTGATTATTTTTCGTTGTTAGGTATGTGGGTAGGATGAAAAAAACACATAAATTCAACAGCAAGCATCAATTGACACACCAAGTGGAGTCGTACTTTAGTTTGTCTTGCAATAGTTTGCACATTACCATTTCACGACACGTCCGATCATTATTTCAACGTTGCTCAAGCATACAATCATGCGCATTCATGCAACACGAACTAAAAAAAATTAAATAATGGTTTTCCAAATGTTAATTTTTACCAAGAAAATATAAAATTATATTTTATTATTATTCACAATGCATTGTAAAGATTTCAAGTATCAACTTTTGAAAAATCTCATGTATCGGATGTTTCATGAATAATTTCCTACTGTATTCCAAATTTATCTAAATTTATCCGAGACTTCATCGATGTTACACGTCATCGCACTTTTCCTAATTCCAGTGTTTAAGTTAACGTTACACGTGCTGGTGAGCCGAGGAGACAGAGCCAACGCGGCTGCATCGTTAAATCATCAAAATAATCTTTAATGCTGCGCCTTTGATGCGATTCGCTAGCCTAAAATATTATTTACGACACATCCAAGCACCAGAAACACTGCTCAAGTGAACATTGTGTTACATCCTTCAACGATTCATCATTTTTCTTTAATGGTTATAATATTTAAAAGTTTTAGCCATTAAGTACAGACGACAATCAAAAATTAACGATTTTTTTACTTTCTATAGGTAGTTAACGCAACAAAGTTGTTATTTGATAGGTGCTATTCCTCGATTAATAGTTTGTTTGTATGCAACGGTAAACAATACAATGTGTAATTACGGATTTCCTGCAATATTTCAATTCGAAACGATTTCGCGTTGAATCATTTTAGCCGCGCGCATACAACATGAACGCATGCTTTTTCGCAAAACAAACAAATAATAATTAAAAACATTGAAACAATGGCTGACAAGAAATAGGTAAACAAACAAGGTTGACGTTAAAATCATCCGATAAGTTTTAAAACATGCAACACATTTGCACTTGCAAAAAATGCATTTTAATACAAGATGACTAAAAATAAACCACATGACACTTTAGAGCAAACAATCAAAATATATTTCTCGATACCCACAATCACATCACAACTCAATTATATCCTTATCAATCACTTAACAGTTTTGCACAAGCGTACGAAAACAATAATATTAAACAAATACGTTGAGGAAATCATTTTCTGCTTATTAATTCCCGAACATAAACTCCCGACCAATCTATATTTTCCGGCCATTCAGCACTATCGACTGTGTAATTTTGTGTAATTACAGCTCAACTCTGATACCGCTTATCGCCTCTCAACGGTTTCTTAGTCCGCTGGTAATAAAAACATTAATAGAGCAAATTTGTTTGCTTTACAATTAGCACTATCAAGTCCAATAACATCAACGTTAACAAATTTATTGTCGTGGGACGCTAACGAAATTAATTAGCGTTATCGCCAAACGGCCAGGCCATGAAAATTCAGTTCCGGGTTAAAATATAACGTCAAAAGCTGCGAAAAAAAATCGAAAATTCACTTCGGTTTCAAACGAGATTAAAAAATAATAATGAAACATAAATTACGGATTTAATGTAGCATAATCTCAGGCGCGAATAAACAACGTATCATTTCATTTGGAATAATACAAACCCACGAGATGATTGTGTGCCACGCGCGTAATTGTTCGTAATTGTTGAATTTGAATAACAAAACCGTCAGGTTTATTTTTAATTCGCACCTTTTGCGCCTAATCTAATGTAAATAACGCGGCACTTAAAAGTCGCTACACTAAATCAGAAACTATTGGAATTCAAGCGTAATAAATATCGTCCTGCTTAAAGTTTGATTTATCGTAATTGTTTAATTGTCATTCATCAAGATATAACTTCATTTGCATTCCATTACACGCCATTTGAACATGGAATTATCGACATTAAAACGGAATAAATCGAGCTGCACTATGCACCCGATTGTGGCAGTTGCGGATGACTCCAGTGTGCACGCGCGCATTCTCAAGTCAAGTGCTAAGTTGACTTAGCGCTGGCGAAAAGCAATTATAATGCACATTAATTAATAAACGGCGCAATTGATATAATGTCAGGCTGGACGCTGGCTGCGCCAATGTAATGAGTCAAACGTCAAACGAAAACCGTTCTCGCAGAGGCATGCGTCGCCTGTCGAATGTTTCGAGTCACATGTGCATAATCTATGGCAGTATCGAAACCAATGAGTGATCATCGATTAGCTAAGCAATCGACTCATTTAATTAAAATTATATAAGCATATTATGCAAAATCTATGAAAACTTTTATTTTTAACAAAAATTTGCTTGTTTTTAAAGTGCGATTTTTGTAGGATTATACAAAATGCAAATTAAAAGCCAGTACTTGCTATCAGCCTCGGACAAAGTAGATATCTACACCGCTAAGTATTTCTGTAAAAGCACCTCCGCGCACCTTAGATAAACACCGACAATTTCATCGTTTTATTATTACACGCATGAAGTTTGGCGTGTTTACAATCCGCATCTGCAGAGGATGCCGCGCATCTCCGACTTAAGTTATCGGCGGGCCGCTGGAGATCGCGCGCGCGCGGCCGTCTGAAGAAAGTTACACAGCGCAAAAATTGACGACGGCATAAACGCCTCACCGAATAAAAGAGGCGTAATAAATGATCGTGTAATAAAACAATGTTTATTGCCGTGCGCGATAAACACGTGTGATGATGCGCGAGTGCGCGAAACGCGAGGAGGTGAAGAGGTGTTAAGTCGACTTAAGTTGAGTGCAAACGCTGACATTTCAGGCAATTTATGCCGATCCTCAAAATATTATTGAAATAACAATAAAATACATATCGGGTTAATTTTATGAAATCCAACTGACTTAAAATTGTGTATAATTTTGTGTATAGTATTAATGCTTTATGGGAATCTAATGCAACATAGAAATAAACTCAATATTTTAACTTTAAAAGTCTTTTAAACTTTTCTTTTTCGTAAATTCAATAGCATTTCAATCTTTACTACTCCCTACTGAATAATTCATATTACAATGCCTGAAATCATGATTAGTACTTTCCTAATTAAATCCACAAACACATCCAATTAAAAATCCCTCATACAACACTTGCAACTCATTTAATTACTTAATTTTCTTAAATTCTCTTGTTTGTTTGATAATAAAACACGGCCCACACAAAATGTCAGTCGTGTAGTCATCATTTTAAGTTATTTAACTTATTTCCTGATTGTTTCAATTCCCGCCTGTCCGCCTTCTTCAACAAAACTACTCAAACATATATTTTTACTAACGGAACTTTATTCGGTTGATACCATTAACTCAGTTATAATAATCACGTGTAAAAATGTAAATTTGTCGGCATTTTTCTTTCTTCCGCGCTCACTCAAACCATATCGCTTTAATCCTATTATCCTTTTGAATAAAGTGAATTTTTGTGTTTTAATTTAAAGCGCAGCCAATAAAATAAAATGCGATACCACCGTGCTCGCATTAAAAAGCGGATAATTCGCGAATAATTAATTCAAGCTGAAAATCTCATTATAATCGAGCATGCACACTATTCGATTATTATTATTAATTGATAAATCCAATCAGACACAATCACTGAGCACGTAATGCATACAAAGTTTCGAAAATGCATCGAGAATCACCTAATTAAACATGACACTCATGCCGATCGAGTAAGAATCAAGTTCAATTAAATGGAAACACGTCATACCCAAAACAAATCAAATACTTAGTAAAAGTCTCGATAAACAGACGCACAGTAGCACTTGACTTGTGGTTTTTCCAGATAACAAATGACTAGATTCCATACGCCAGCGTCAAGAGTCATAAAATATTCAAAATTTCATTACGACCTACCGCAGTGCACAAGTGTAACAAAGTTCTTTTGTATTCAGCGCCGGGCTTGTTTCATTGTGCACCGATTGTTCCTATTCACGTTTCTTGCTTCGCGTAATCAAACATACCAAACAATGAAATATGGCGGAATAAAACTACAACGAATAAAAAAAAAACCGACTAAATAAAACTATAATATTTCAGTCCAATGACCTTAATTACAAACGTCAAGTTTTTGTTTCGCATATTCGTCTGATACTTCGCGGTAATGGTTTTTATGCTGTAATGTACTATATCTTTGCTCTGTGTGTGTATGTTACAGTTATTATTTTACACAATACAGCCGCTGGCCACAAAATACATACAATTCTTTTATGATTTATTACAATGAACATTTGATTCGGATGATTCAAGATGACAGCTTATAAGCTCGATTTGATCAATCAAAACATGAAATAATCATAATTATACTCTAATTTCGAACAAAATAAAAAATATAATCTTTTGAAATCAATTTTTTCATATCACGATATAAAAATAAAAAAATTTTCTTTGCTTATCAAATAAATTCGGAGATTTCATAAAGTTTCGCAATAATTATGCAATCAAAATGTTTATATTTGCGTCTAGAATGAAATTTTTAAATAAATTTACCTGAGACTGCTTTATAACATCTCAATTAGTCCAACTTCAGAAAATTCTCACAGATAAAGTCATTTAAAACCTATTGCAACAAAGTCTAAGCCAACATGTCATGCGCAGAGCCGCGCCGAGTAACTAATACCGCGATTGATGGCGGCGATGATGTGTGCGCGCCACCCACTCGCACTTTTCTTTCTTTAATTAGATATAATGGCACGTTTCGTGGTGCCGGTGATGTGCCAAGATGGCGTCGTATCTACAAACTCTCCCAACTGACAATCACGCTATGCTCTAAATGTGCAAATTTCAATCATCAACACCAAAAATACTTATCGCATAACATCAAATAAGTTCAATGTTCCTCCGATTATGATAAGAAATGTATTTATATCCTCACCTTATCACAACTTAATCTCCAGTACATTGCATACTGGCAACGTAAACAAATATCATCGACATATTTCGCAAGCAGATAAAAGGATAGAGATAACTTTAAAATTATGCATGGTGTCATGTTGGTGTGGCTGACAATTAAAAATTACAATTGGTAATGTACGAGTGTTCGACAAAAGTAGATGCATACCCACGCTGTGGGTAATGTTTTGAAGAATTGATCCATGCCAATAAAATTCAATTGACACTCGCGCAAAAATGATTAACACACAAATTAATGCAAAATTAGACAAGGTGTAACAAGTAGCTACCTAATAAATCCACCACCTCGGTCATACATCATGAAGTAAATCAACACAACACGGGTAATAATTTGTTGCTTGTTGCTTTGGTGCGACTGAAACAAGATAGCTGGTTGATTGGCGATATTACCTCACATTACCTCACACAAAACACTAATTCCAATGAAATCGTCCCGTCTCTATCTATCGGCAAGGAAAAAAACGCAAGCTGTTGACTCAGACCATCGTCGATTCGTGCGTTCGTTCGTTCGTCTGGTCGGTCGGTCGGGCTTTAGGTCAAAGGACGTTGACATGGGCCTCTCTTCCACACATATCCACACCGACTCATGCAGCGGCGCACCAGCAACAGGCCTGCTCTGGATGTTAGTAAACAATGCGGGCGCAAACACAACTTTCCTGCAGTTCCGGATATTTGCCTCCAAGGGTTCCGATTGGAATTCCTCCATTTTTGACAGTGGGTCAAACACGGAACAAAGGATTACGAAAATGCGCAGCGGGTTGTTATTGGTTGGCGGTCAGCAGGAAGCGGGAATGATGATAGATGGTTAGACAATAGAGAATTCGCAAAACAAGTGCGATAATGATCGTTACCATATCGGTACCACAAAAAAAGCGGTTCTATTGTTTTTGAGTTCAATATCGAATAAGATACGACTGACATTGTAATTTTGTTATACCTATATCTATTGATAGCGACGTGGTCGGACGGCTCGTCGAAGGAAATCAGGGCAATAACAAGTTTGACAAGCGTCGACGTCGCCGTCCGTCCACCTCGTCACATTCGCAATACGCTCGTGTGCGCCCGTATGAGTTGTTTTACCTGGTGCAGAGCTGTGAGGCCGTCGACGTTCGCTGTGTCGATATCGGCGCCCTTCTCGAGCAGTAGGAGCACCTCCTCTTTCTCGCCGGCGGCGCATGCGGCGAGGAACACGCACCCAGAGGAGAACTTGATCTTACGCGAACGATGCGCGCCGTTCACCGGCTCACGATTCGTCGCCGACTCTTCCCATTGTCTCAGCTGCTCGGCCCTTTTGAAGAGGGCCGAACTGGAGCGCGTCTCCAGCGACATCGCGACGCACGCACGCACACCACCAACAGCCGCTGGCCGCACGCAGCCGTCTCCGCCACACGCAGCAGTCACAGGCACTCGCAGGCACACAGAACAACACGCCAGCGCACGATGCGACCATTTGCTCGCGACGCTCGCTACTGAAAAACGGCACCCGTCGGCACCGCGCACTGCGAAGGCTGCGAAGAATGCGAGAATTTGAGCCAGCGCGCGCGTCTTTGACAGAGGGTGCGGTTTGACGCGCTGTGACTGTCAAACGACACGCTGCCATCTTTAGGTGCGACTCAAAATCAGTATCTACTCACGCAAAATAGACTATGACTATTTAGTAAAGTATGTAGGCATTTTTATAATATTCAAAACTTGTTGAATTAGACATGCGACACTCAATAATTAGAGTTACGCGTAATATAGTTATTTTTTCAATATTATTTTAACATTATTTTCAAAATCAATGACAACCAGGTGTCGCCGGTCATGTGAGCCGACTACAGCGCCAAGCCAACAGTACTAGATTATGGCGGTAACAATGCGCGCTTTTCTTTCAACTGCCATTTTTAATGCTCTGCCATTTCCGTTCGAGTCCTTTCAACAGCAGCATCGACTGCCGTCGTCTTATGCATTTTGCGACCGGCATCTATAAATAAAACGTGGTATTCTTAATCAGTGCAGCCGGAGCAAAAAACTCAGCAGCGGATTTGACTGCTAGTATTCGAAATGGGTTAGTATAGTAATTATATATTTAAATATAGATACGTAAATTTTCCGGGGATAGTCGCGTGTACGGCCATTTTGTGTTCGCTTGGCAAGCACGTTTTCAACCATCCTTTTCACACGCGTTTTACCGAAGAGAGTGTGCTTTATAGTGGTGTTTTATCGTTGAAATCATAACTATTTAGCATGAGGCGTAAGATACTTATAATTTTCTCGAGAAATTACGTGAAATTCTAACATTGCATAGCATCAAATTGACTTGATTAAAATGTAAATATTTGTTTAGGTATGCCTAGAGGAAGTAGTCGTGGAGGATACTCCTCACAAAGGGGATCCTCTTATCGTGGGGGCGGTCGTGGAGGTTCCTGGCACTCAAACAGCAGAGGTTACAATGGTTCATCACGCGGTGGCCGCTTTAACTCGTCACACAACCACAGCTCATCTTTCTCCTCCAATCATTCATATGATAGAAAGTATTCCAGTTCCTCTGATAAATACAGCAGTGGTTCCAGGAGCCATCATAGTGAGGACTACAGAAGGCCATACAAGAATGTAAGTTTTCAACAAATAATATACATATTTAGCTAGTTTTTAGTCCCAGTGTTACTTGAATTGTGATTTAAATTCAAATTTGAGTGTCTAATGGGACTTTACAGTAATTTCTATTCATCCACAAGTTTTTTGTAAGCTACAAATTTACTTACTAAGAATAGAATACAGTTTTAGCAATCATTACTTAATTGCTTTTAGTGTAGGAGTTATGTGATTTTAAATATTTGTTTTTTACAGGATTCTGGTGGATATTCCAACAGAGATCACAGATCCCCTGACAGGAAAAGAATGAGGACTGAGGTAAGTGAGTTTTAGTCTGCAAATTTGAATTGAACAGGAAGGCAAAGACAGACGGCATCTGCATCTGTACCAGAAACTCGTCCAACCACCTTAATACTTGAATTATCTGCTAATTGAAAGATGATATAGAAGTAGAGCCTTCAGAGATCTGGGCAGAGTGTCCATATTCAACAAGAACTCTTGCACAAAAGAAATTGGAAAAAAAGAAAGATGTCGCCGTTCCTAATTTTTCGTGATTTATCAATAGACATTGAGAAAATTAATACGATCCTTAACGGAAGTCGTAAGTAGTTGATTCATAGTTAGATAGATAATGGACAGTTTGAAGCACCCGTTGCTAAGAAATATCAAGACATAGATTGCAGACGATCGAAATTATTCTCTAAACTTATAACAAAAAAATTGAATCCTATGTTGTTGCATTAAACTTAAGGTCTTAGCCCTGTTTGGTGACGCAATCAAACATAGACGCGACGTCTGATTGATCGCGTCGTTGCTACGTTTTCTGGGGTTGCATCTGGCAGCCCGCCAATGATGATGTTCAACCCTCTCTCATCACACCAATCAAAAAATTATACTAAACTAAAACCGTATTGATTGTTGTTCAGTCAAGTCACGACCGCAGTTTTTCTGGATCCGGAGGCGAGTACAAGAATCGTTACGAGAACGATCGCAGAAGCTTCTCGCACGACGGGCGGCGGGCACCGTCATACACGCGCAAGGAAGAGTTCCGAAAGCCACCGCCGCCTTCGGGCAGTCCCCGCGGAGGGTACCGAGGACGGGCGATGACGTCGCGTGGCGGCGCAATGCGTGCGCGCCCCAGAGACAGGCCGCCGGTGCGTAAGCGTCTCGTTGAGAGCTCGTACGCGGTGAAACGGCGCGTGCTCGCGCCGCGCCCAACTGACTACGCCAGGAGGCTTAAGATAAACAAGCTGAGGAGGTAATTACAAAACAAAAACTTGAACCAAAACCAAACAAATCACAAATATGCTCAATCGGATTGAATTGTGAGTGGGCACCTGGTGTGCGCAAAATCTTTACACTTAGCTGCTATCTTCAGACGGCGGACGCACGTTCATCCATTCGGCAGAGCGACAGTAGCGTCGTGTTTTGATGTTTTTTCTTAATAGCAAATCTTTCTTAACAATCCTAGCATCATTCTGCTAATTTTATACTTGGAGATTGGATTGTCGCTTGGCTCTACGCCGTGGCGCAGATATTTCGACCTGCATGAAGGTAGCCACAGCGAGAAAGAGCTAAGGAGTTGACAAATCCCGGAACCATGAAGCAACAACAACGTTAACGGAACATCAAGTCACTATCAATGATGATTCTCCAAATGCCAACACTTTATATCAATGATTGATTTATTTTATATTTACATTTATGTTGGTTTTCCCAGCACTAAACTAATTAATAATTGTCTTTAGTACCATCACAAGACGTCCTAAGAAGACATCCAGTGACAACTCCGATGATGATGGAGAAGAAGAAAAGAAACCAACCATTAAACAGGAAGAAGGCGTCGAAGAGCCCGATAAAGAAAAGAACGAAGAGGTGAAGTCGCCTAAAAAAGAAAAGAAAGAAGAGGGTAGTGAGACTGAAGAAAAGAAGGAAAGCGATGGCGAGGGTGAAAGGAAAAGCTCAAGTTTTATTAAATTGAGTTGCCCGCATTGCTTGATTCGCTTTCCTACCTTCAGCAAATACAGCATGCACTTGCAAAGTGGTCGACATGCTGCCTCTATGCGACGAGTCGCAACCAAACAGAAGACTATCCTTTCGCAGATGCGATTGGTGCAGAGAAAGGCGCAGCGAGAGCTTGAGAAAACCACTGATGATTTGGCTCCCAGAACAAGCTGGTGCCCGATGTGCAAGCTAAACTACAAACAACCAAAAGCCACTCATCAAGCATCCAAAGCTCACTTAGATATGAAACGCTTCTTGATGCCGCACTGCAAAATTTGTAAGATTACTTTCAAAAGTCCTATGATTTATGAAAGTCATTGTTGCAGTCTTGATCATATTAAGGTAACAATTTAAAGAAATAGATTTAAAGATTATATATAACACGAATTTTTTATTCATTATAGCGTAAAGCTACGTTGTCAGATAAAAGTGACAAAGAAGATGCTTCTGGAAATGAGGAAGAACTGGAGAATTTTATGACTATTGACTCAGTCGGTGACGTTGACGGTAATTATATATTTGTACTTTTATTTATTATTTCGTCTGCGTGTTACTTGACCCATGATTTCAATTCTGGTTCGAGCGTCAAACCAGACGTTACATTAAATTCTCAAATTTCCACAAATGTTCGACAATATTGTCTTACGTTTACTATAATTGGGAAACATTCGTTAGGACTACGATGATTAATTTGATTATTTAATAAACAATTTAATTTTTGTCTTAACAGAAGAAGGCGATCAAATTATGAAAGAAGATAAGAAAGAACATGTAAACGTGGGCATTGAAGAAATCCACAAAGTGGAAGTATTTTATTGTGACCTTTGCCGAATGTACTTGCCTCGTGTAAACGACGACGATGAAATGAATAAAGAAATTGCCCGCCACTGCAAACAACGCACTCACTTGCAGAAATACATTCGCTACAAGGAGGACAAGGAACTCGCAAAGATGGCCGAGCGCTTGGTAAGAAAAGAAAACGCCGAAAAGAAAAGGTAAAGGTTGATAGCAAGGACGCCGAGGTCAAAGACAGGACTATAGAGGATGGAGCCAAGACTGAGGAAGGTAATGATGAAAAGTTCTACGAGGCACCCGCAGGTATTGAAAAGAACACTAAGTCTGATGATGAAGATGAGGACGAGGAAGACTCTGTCGTCAATGGTGAGCGATATGACCGATTCCGTCAAAGCGAGAAGGCAGAGGATAAGAAGGATGCACCTGTCGTGGAGGAGGAAGTGAAGATTGAAGTTAGTCCTGAGGATAGTAAGATTTAAGATGTATTTATAGGCATAGGAAGGACCGATCTCCCATTGTGTCGTTTAATAACAAGTCCTGGTTCTTTCAGGATTCAATGTAATTTTTTGTTTTCTTAATACACGATATTTGCTTTAGGCAGACATATAAAAGTTTAATATGTTGTGAATATTTTGCAGTAAATAATAATCCATGCAATAACAATAACTGAGTCAATAACCACCGCCGAGTAATATCTTGTTAGATCATATGCTACAGTAAATGCTATATGCGGGTTAAGTTTAAATGATCGGCACTAGATGACGCCAGGGATACCATTCTGAGGCTTGAAGTTCGTGATTTGAACACTAGAGAATATCAGCAATACCGTTTACACTAATACGTAGTTGTTAATTTTAACAACTAGTAAGTTAAATTTTCTTTTCTTCAGTTTAAACAAATTTTTCTTTCAACAAATGCACTTTTACTGAAATTATCCTCTTTGCTACCTTTTCGAGTGCAGATTTATGTTACAATGCTTGCTGCATTCTGCGCCCTCGATGCTGACGCGTTAATAAAAGGTAAATCTGTCGAGTCTGCAAATCTACGCCATGTGAATGCAAGCAAACGTTAACGTGAGTATACACACAGTAACTCGCTCGAAATAGTCACATCGACATAACATTTCACTGCTCAAGTGCCGAGTAAAGCGAATTGCACCAGGGAGCGCCCGGCGCCGTTGCGAAGAGGGTGCGAGCGCGAACAAGTGAAAATCAGAGCGTTCGGTAACTCAATCAGGCAACTTGCGTCCCTCTTCGAGTCTTATTCGCGTTGCGTTTACAACTTGGCGAAATGCTGCGCAAAAACATTGTCACAAGGCAAACAAACACAAATGTGTGCAAACAAAAATCAAATTAAATTTAATAATATAAAAAAGTAATACATTTATTTTGATTAACTCAAATAAATACTGCATGTAAGACTACAGAAACAAATTTATCAATGAAGGTGGACTCTATGAATCATACGTACATCAACGTATATCTTTGACAAGATTGTGACGGATTGTGACCGCATGGCGCTCTTCTCGTCCCTTTTTGCGTCATCGCCATCGTTCATCATTGCATTCATTGCGCGAAAACGAACATGATGTGGGGGCGGACGTGTTGTGACATATTTAATTCGTGTAATTGAGTTGTACCCCATACATAATGCATATGTGCGTGAGCGACATACGTGCAGCCACCCTGTTCATCGTAACGGGCCGATCGTACATGCAAGCAGTGAAACAAACTCGCATTTTTGTATTTTTAACACGTTCCGAAAAATGAGCATGATAAGTTCAATAGTTGAGGTTTTTTTTTTGTAAACTGAACAGGTATCGACATCACCTCATCGTAAATGGTAAAATATAGAAGAAAAAAAATTGTAGAGCATTGAAATATTGTAAAATGCGTAATATTATGATAAATATTATAAATGTAGGCGCGCGACGATGACGCGCATGTATAATTTTCGATCAAATTATTCAAATTTCCAATTTTACATGTTAACAGCGGACGCTACGCATGGAAACCACAAATTTACATTCGCAACTAACTTTCCAGCATGGAAATGCATCAGCATTTATGCGTTCAAACACTCGCGGGTTCGCAGCAGGCCAGCAGCATCAGACTTAAACAAATAATCCTCTCGTCATTATTCACAGAAACTCAAATATTCAAATAAAGCATTAACGCTTCACTGGCCCTTGGCATTGTAGTAAATTTATGCTCTTTTTATTTTATTTTTTCGGTAGAAAATATAAACGAGAACATTTGTTTGCTAGGTAGGTACTACAGTATTAGTAAAGATGAAAATTTTACACTGTGTTTTGCAGGTTTCGCTGCAGAAACTTGCAAGGGCTTTCAAGTGGATTGTGCAGGTAAAATCAATTATGTGAGTTTTTACGAAGCGCGCTGCTGCGCTGCGCCGTGCAGCAGGCCCGCAGGATTGGCGCGCGTCGAGGCGGAGTTTATATTCATCCTTCCTACCAGCAGACAGTTTGCTGCCACCCGCGTCCCACGCATAATACATTCACGTAGTCTTAAATCTCGTTTTATTTGGTTCTTTTACAGACACTTTTTCTTTGATACATAATTTATCTATTTTATTACAAAATATTGAAAATATTAATGTTCTAATCTTATTTTACGTTTCAGAACAATTCGTCACGTGAACATTAGTAGCACCTTCATGAAAAATTAATAATTGCTAGATTTAAAAATATTTTAAACACGGAATATGATAGAATATGACAGATAATGATTTATTCTTCATAAACACAATTCCTTGCGACATTGCGTGCACAGTGCACCGTTCGGTTGCGTTTCGGTATCATTCGTATTTCATAATTTCTCATTTCCATCGCAGCACCTTCATATATTCGAGTATATCACGCGTGCGTGTCATGCGAGTAGTCGTAAGTCATCAAGCGTGGATAATCGCGTCCCGGTCCACACCGTCGCCGGTTGACACTTCGAGATGATGTATTCTTCGTTCTTCTGCGCGTCGCGAATAACACCACACCACAAACACAAAACATTCTTCTCGCATTGGATTGCATCCAGCATGGTCCATAGGGTCATTCCTCATAATGTACTTTTCTAGTTGAATGGGTCTTCCAGTGCACGCTCGCGTACACCGGTGGGATGATGCATGGCTTTTTTATTATTGTGATAAACATTATCACTTGACAGCGACCATACTGGCCGCGCGTATGGAGTATTCTTTTTACTCGCGAGTCATCCACGATGAGTTTTCATTCATTATAGTATTTCTTGCGTGACTTCGACTTGGAGATTTTGGAGTTGAAAGCGTTTGTGGCATTTTCTCAATGACAACACTTTATAAGTATTTAAAAGGGTTCCCATACTTTGAATAAAATATAAAAAAATATATTTATTAAGTGTTGAAATAAGTTAAAGGTCGGTTTGGTAACCCTAACAAAGTGAAGTGTAGAGTTAGCGCTTGGTAAATAACACTGGCCTGTGGCTGCCTGCTTTGGTTTCTTTTGGCTCTCGGCTTTTTCTGTAAAAGCTCGAGGAAAAACGGTCAAAAGGTACACAATGCGGCGACGTTATTTATCTGTCCGCGCGCGGTCGAGGTGTAGGTGTGAAAGTGGTTTAAATCTTCGGACCATAGGACTCGCGACGGATGCAAAAGATCTTTCATTCACATATAGTATTCCTATACGGGCGGAGCGCGGCGCGACTTGATCAAAAAGGGAAAAATGAATTAAACACCGCGATGAAAAGGCATCGGCGTTTTTGATACGATTTACACACTTCACCAAATTCATATTTTTTATTTATTATTCTCATTTTTTATTCATCTGAAGGAGGCGGTCGGACTTTGGTGCTTCGAGAGCGATGATGAAAAGTTTCAATGAGCGCAGGCGAGGCAGCTTTGAGTTTTAAATTGTCCTTGCTGAGCTTGCATGCTGACTGCGAATGCGTTAAGTGCTGCTAAATCGCTGACTGCGAGCGTATCGGAGCATTGCGAGGCAGTTTGCAAGATGCAAACGCATGCATACTGGATTCATTTCACAGATTTATGCGTGATATTGTCAATCCATGGCTGCTAAATGTATGGCAGCAATTTATAGAATTTCCATACAGCCAACACATAACCACAAAATGATTTGCATTCATTATAGTTGAGGTAGCGCATAGGTAGCCATTATTTTTCAGTCACCTACACTGGAAATTAATATTTTAACTTAGGCAACTATTGAAACATGATTTTACACTTTCAGTAAGTTAAAAACTAAATATTTTCTAAATAAGAATTGTATACAGATGAAAATGTTATTATTTCATTGTTTATTCCATTGTCGTACAGATTTCACGTGAGAAGAAAATTGAAATTGAAATTTGTAGAAACAAAGCGTATTTCAGAATACAAAGGAAAAGCTTGCTGCTTTTGTTTGCACTTTGTAACATCGGTATTATTTGATTTGGGAAATTCGGCGTTTGGGTTGGTGAAATACTGATATATTCCGTGGATATTTCAGCTAGTTTGCTTTATTCCTTGTGATTTACATTTGTCCCCGTTTACAGCCCCTTGCACACGTTTTCATATAACTAAACTCAATAGAAACAAATCTAAATCTTTCTGAAAATCTTGCAAACAGTCAGTATATAAAGTATAAAATTTATAGAGAACACAGGACTAGAGGTGCAGACGTAGCGAAAGGAAGAAATATATCAAAATTCCGTCGACGCGCGTTTCGTCCGCTTTGGTTGTTCCTTTTCGTCCTTTTCGTTCTTTTGTCACCGTCTCCAGTACTATTCCAGGCAGTTCACTATTTGTCGAGACTTGGAAACGTTTGTAACAAGGTGCCTGCTGGTGCGTCTTACGGTTGGTGTGTTCTTTTTACGGCAATATTCGCGAGTTTTCCCTTGACGGAAGAATCGCAGTCTTTTCGTTTAGTTCTTCGCGTTGGGGCGTTGTGCTCCATTTCGAGGCGCGTCCTCCCTCGACGAGGAATTGTCTCGTCGTGCAAGGCGCACGTAGTTGAAGCAAACGAATCGAAAATAATTCACACAATCGAATTTCGCTTGTCGAGAACACGGAATGAGTCAAGACAATGGAAAACTATAGAATTGCATTATTTTCTTGACAAATACCAACTATTTTAACGCTAAAACAGCAAAATGTTGTAAAGAATAGAATTTGATTGCAGATAAAAATCAAAACTATCAAAATACAATACTTTCACATTTATTCTTCTTCATGACAATTCATGAATTGCATCTGCATGACGTTTATTTATATTATTTATTATTTATTCAAACTCATTACAAAGCTTTCAAATCCGACGCATGGCCGTAACAATTCTGAATGCAAAGCATTTCCTCAACTTCACCAGTCGGAGCGCTATTCTGCTCTCGTGAGTGTTTGAAGCACATTTCTCGATTTTCGATTTGAATGATGTATGTGCGTGGTGTCTTGTCCGACGTTGGTAAAGTGCGTTCGAAGCGCTAAAATTCACTTCTTTCCGACCGACTCACGTTCGCTTAATAAATAAACATTGACAGGTAGAAAAAGCGGTGCACAATCGCACAATGCGTCTTATCAGTGTTGTGCGGATGGGTCGAGTAAAAGCTCCACGCGATGAATGCAGCGAATTGAAACG